CCCCTTTTCCATCAATTGTTCCATAATCAAAATGTTACTTTTTATATTGAAATATAAAACACATATTGGATTGATCCGATTAGGTCATCCTTCTACAAGAAATAAACAATCTCTCGGTCTTTTACTGAGATCTTTGAGCCAACTCTAAAAGACACATGACTGAGATCTCTGAGCCAACTTCAATTTGTTAAATAGGTGTTCGTCCCCACACATATGGTTACTTTCACCTTATCAAAATATCATACCAACTTGTAATCGGTATTTTCTCGAACTCTTTCACATTAATCAGCTCTCAAGTGAATGATCGAATATAGATCGATCATCATGAGCATTGGTTCTTCTTGGCCTTTTGTGAGATAGGTTTCACCCATCTTTTAACATTATTTGACAAAATGTTCCTCCTTTCTACAGTTAAAGCCTTTTCCCGAATAATATTCATTCGCATAATGACCATATTTGTCACACTTGAAACACTTAACATTTGAGTGGTTCGTTGACTGACGTCACCGAATCCAAATCCTCCAGATCGGGTCCAACCACCACATCCTTATTCTCTTCCTCTATTCTTCTGAGAATAGAGTATTTTCTCCTCGTTTTCGAGCAGTTTCACACTAGTGTCCTTATCCTCCTTATCTTTTATTGAAAACTTAGACGAGCCATTCGCTTGTTAAAGGATTTTGTTAATGACTTCAAGATCTTTTCAACGATTTGTTATATGAAAAATATCTCTCCATTCTAATTAAGTTATTTTGTCATGTTTTCAACACGCAAGACATATTTATAATCTTTTTTTGACCCCTTCATCTTCATGTTCTTCATCTCCCTTCATAGTATCTGACGTTGAATCCGTGTGACTTGGTCATCTTTCTTGTGCTTCTTGATGTGTATTTCTCATGTATCTTCTCTAACTCCCTAAGTTCATTGATCCCCAATTTTCCCATGGTCTCTGATTCCACCATATTCCAAACACCTTGAACTTTGAGGAGAACATTCATACACTTCATTTATCATAGCTGACGTCCTTCGTCAGCGGAGACACAACTACAACAACATTTGTTAAATCAATCATCTCATTTTTTTTTTACACTCAAACCCTAATTCTCACTCTTGTGAAGAACCCTAGTTCTTCTCAAAAACCAACCCAAAACCCAAGTTCTCCCTAAAAACTCTAATACCAATTTGATAACAAAAAATCTCTCACAAACTTAGAAACTTCCCTTTTATTATTCTTTGTCATCCTAAAATCAAGAATACAGCTATGTATTTAAACACTCTCTAGAAATTAACCGAAATATTAATTCTTTAGAATCCAAAACGTTCTACCATAATTAAGAATTAAAACAATAATCATCCAAAACATCCACAGTCTCAAACATTCCCATAAACCTTTAATTTTATCTAACATCAATTATTGATTTTGAAGTTAATTTTAACATGAAGTAGCAAAAGCCTTTGAGGGTTAGTGAACGCTTTCTCCTTTCAAATCCTCACACACAAGCTACTCTGGTAAGACTACGAACAAAAAATACTTATTTTTGTTCATGGTAGATTGATGCTCTCACAATAATAATTGGCATTTCACGCGTGTTTTCTATGATTAGAGTTTGGATTCACCGTATTTTAGATAATGTTACTTTAATGGTTAGAATTTGTTCCAACCGAACTTAGCTGATTGAGGTTTCCTTTGCTTTTACAAATATACATAAAAAAAATATCTCCCCAGCATAATTTGAATATCAATACTTTCTCACCTTCAGAAACTACCAAGATTCGGTATTGAGTTTAGCACAGATTATGCAGGCATTCCGTGTCAAGTATTTTAACCATGTAATTGTGGCCATGAATTTCAATTATCAAAGGCAGAGACCGAAGAAATGTGACTGCAAAAAAATGCGTTGACATTCTGATATATATGCAGTAACAGTATCCAAAAACAGATAGGAGGACATTGCTTTGGTTGTGTTGTGACTCTTTCCATGCGGAATAAGTTGTCTGTCACGCTCTTCACATATTATATTCCTCCAAGCTCGTTACTTTTCTCACTTGTTCTTTCAATTTCATGAACCTATCATGCATATTTTGTCTTGGTTTTTGGATTTTGCACTTGCAAACTATACCAAATACAATCTAATTATACTACAGAATTGTTCATCTTGATTTCAAATACTTTTCCATTCAAACTTCGTAATAAGGAAGAAATGTTTAACACAAACGCTGGCTGTTCTTATAAATTGATTCATAACTCTATATTTATCATTCTATGCGTACAATGTACATATAGCGACATAAAGACAAAGTTAGTCGTCGTATCAGAAAAAGATATATGGAAAATAAAAGCAAATCCGAAACATGGAGAACCGAATAACGAAGAGAATAAGATATGACTTTGGAATGTATTCGAGTTAATTAACGTCTTTCTGAGAGCAAGCCAACCATTGTTGTCTATAAATACGAACCTAAATGTCTTTCACTGATACCAAACTGAGGTTAACAGAAGAACTCTTTCTGTTCCCTCAAAGGCTTCCAGTATTCAGAATGCTAACTTGTTTACTTGAATGCTGGAGTCCTTTGAAGGAATATGAAAGCTTACTTCTCCAAATATGAAATCAAAATTTCAGTTTTCCTAGAAGATTTGTACTTGCGTAATGAAGGGAAAGGAGCTGAAACCCATCTCACAGACATTTTTTAAGCAAACGCAACACATATTCTCCAAGCTGAGTAATTCAATTTTCTTAAAAAACATATATCACTTATTTCATCTTTTATTTTGACGACAAATGTTCTGGAAAAGGTTTTTTACATCATCCAGAACAGTAGTTATGTCTTGTACAAGTTCTATTTTTTCCTAGTCTGTTGTCTCTTTTTATATGTATGAAGTCCTTCCATGATTGTTGTTGGTGAATCCATGGAGAGAGTGTTCTCATGATTAAGAGACATATTCGGTTGTCATTCACGACGCCTCCTTTCTTGTGAATCTACAACTAAGAAGATACATAACCCTTCAATCTCAAACATAGTCATAAATAGAGGCTTTATCATATATGATTGCAATTACAACAAACTCAATCAGCATCAAGAACTTATGCAACCAGCATCAGGAACTTGTGAAGATTTTTAAAGTTATTTGTAGGCGTATTTTTTATACATGATTTATATCTATATCTCAATATTTTATTCATGTAATCGTATATTCTATATATATATATATATATATATATATATATATATATATATATATGTATTTATTGTGAAGAAAATACTTTCTTCATAGAGCACGTCTTCTTCTTCGTGGTGTAGGTGGCTGAGGAAACCATGTTAATATAAGAGGTTCAAATTAACTCTTTATAGGAGAGTTAATCTCTCACTTGATTATGTACCAGAACCGACCAAACAGTATGAAATATGATTTGTAGTCTTATAAAATTTCACTTTGATCATAAGCCTCTTCATATTTGAAAAAACTAAATTATATTTTATCTTATTATATTTTCAAATTCATTCTAAGATATTGCTTTATACTTTTTATTATTAAAAATCTTATACGTATTTGGATAGAGAATTTTAAAGGGTAATTTATTCTTGTAGCGAATATGAAATATTTTATAATAAAATATGTTAGAGTTTTTTTATTGAGGTTGATAGAATTTATTTCATTTAACACGGTCGAAATTATTTTTTCTCTAATATAACTAGACCAATGGTGTTTGGGATAATTAATGTCTTTTGTGGTTAATTGTTTGTTAATGTCTATGAGAATTTTCTGTCCGAAGTTATTAAGATTTCTTTTCTAATGTCTAATAGTGAAATATTCAGCCAACCTTTATTAGGATAGTTTTAGTCAATGTAAATAAGATAAATTCTTTAACGGACATTAGTCAATAAATTGAAAAAAGAAAAAGAAAAAAAACAACCGTAAAATGAAATAATCCTGATTTATATTAACTGAAAAAACGTAAACATTAGTTTAAAAAATCTAAGGAAATTTAGTTAAAAAATAACATTCACCAACTTATAGTTTTAAATTATCAAATATTATTTAATATTGAAATAATTTTTTATATTTTGAAATTTAAATTTTCCTATCCAAAGACATGATAATATTTTTCATATCAATAAATAGTGATTATAAAAATAATGAGTTAAAATGTAATAGGTTGATACCATGGTTGGACAGTCTCTACTAACATCCCTCATAAATGCTATATTCAACTCAATATACTAAGAAAAATCCATGACAAAAAAAAAAGAATAGATTATATTTTGTAATCCAAAAGAATGTATTATCATTCACCTAAAAAATAGGATGCAAAGAATGAAGGCATGGGAGTAACAGAGAGCAAACTCCCATCATAAAAAAGAAAAAAGAACAAACAAATTCTAACACAAAGCATTAACAGAAATTGGTCAAGCTCCTTGCAGTACCAAACCGCTTGGATACAACTTTCTCAACCTGTAAACAAAAAGCATAAGAGATATGTAATCATAAAATATATCGTTTTCATAAAACATGTGTATGTGTCTACCCTATGTTTCAGTTCAGAGAACTACTTGAAGGCTTTTTAAATCTTCACACCTACCAAGTTTGAATAGATTTACATATGAATGAAATTATACAAGTCCTTCAATCATTAGTGGTGAAAGGTTATTGGAGCAATGTATCCAACTGATTAGTTAATTCCTCGAGACATTGTATATAAAAGTTTTACACTGTCATCAATCCTAGGTTGTCATGTATAAAATGACTGTTACTTTAGTAATAATTAATTTAAAAATCACATCTGAGTAATTTCTAAAGAGTGGTGATATTTTGACAACCAGAAATCATATAACCCTTCAAACAACTCACTTTTATTTATATAATAATCTATAGAATGATTGAATAAAAATAAAATAAAACTATTATTACAATATTAAAAGAGAGTTGTTTATAAGAATTGTATGGATTTGAATTGTCAAAGTATTATTTTCCATTTCTAAACTCAAACTCATCAGTATTTACCTCATGATAATATGACCAAGCCAAGGTACAAAGATCCGCAAAGAAATGCAAACGATATTATCCCCCTGAAAGTGGAATGCATCGCAGAAAGGAATATTAATGACTAGTAACTAATAAAAATATAGAACATAAATTAAGTTCATTCATTCCCCAGTGATAAAGCATATATATATATTATGATTGTCATTCAGCTACACATTCATGTACTTTCCCCTATTGCTATATAATGCTATTTATGACCATCTTAATCATTATAAACAAAGAATTATTATTTACTAGAGTTTTAAAATGACAAAAAAAGAAAATCAAATTTCAATCCTAATAAAACCAGTAAATTTTGGTCTAAAATGAAAGAAATATCTTTGTACTCAAGCGTGCTGCCGTATCTCACCAAATAACTCCCCATCCAAAACCATTGCAAGGGCACGGGCAAACTTCTGCAAACTTTTCAGCATCACTGGAATGGACTCTTCGGGATATTAAATCATCATAAATATCTACATTACACAAATTGTAATCATGTAATATAAGTGGTAACAGAAATTTTATTGTCCAAGATTAAATAAACCATATAAAAAGTGCTTAAAAATATACCATAAACTGAAAACAAACTGTTCATCACACCTGAAAAGTAAATCATAATTAGTTTCTTATATATTTCACAAGAAATAACACAACTCTATATGAATAGGAACATACCAATGAAGAGAATGACATAGCGAAGGATATGAACTGTTGTTTTCTCTTGCAGAAGCCAAACAACAGCAATAAAAACAATGAATCCTGATATTCATTGATCCAGAAGAATAATGTCAATGTGAGAATTATCAATATCATCTTTTCTTATTTTTTCCATTTTATTTGAGAAGATGAAGATCATAAAATCACTCACCAATACAGAGTCCTCGAAGTGTCCACTTTTTGAACAAAAGTGTGTGGCAAGACAGAAGAAAAGGGAAAAGTCAGGAGAAAAATAGCTTTGATATATTCGATACAAAACATCTGCATCTATAACCAATCTTACATTTTTTGCAAGAAAGAGCACAACAATTAGAGCAGCAATAAAGCAACCCGCAGCAATTTTTGCAGTGAGAAGATTTGTGGACGCAAGTATCAAAGTCATTCCCCAAAATGATGAACCAAGATCTAGGAGAAAAATCAATCAGAATAATGGTAAATGCCTGAAAAGTGCACTTATGAAATCCAAATCATAAGAATAAAAGGGTTAAGAAATCTATCTATACAAAATATAGAACATCCACATATTTATGAATCTTAAGATTTTCTGCCATTTTGCATGTCATAATTTCACATCAAACCGATAGCACATGTGTAGTGATGTTAGTTTATAAGATTGTTATCCACAAGTCCCTGATGTTAGTTTATCAATCATATAAAAGAATATCATGTGGCATGAAAATAAAGATTAATGTGTTAACTGATAATTAAGGGAGAAAAGTGCATTACATCCAGCAGGCAAGATCACCCAGTATATGCCACCACGTGTCTGGGTTACCCCACCCTCATTTGCGTGAACCTGAATTCCCTCCACCTATTGACATCAGAGTAACAATGATGCAGTATACAGAATATATAAGTATAAAGAAGCTTGAAGCAGAATCAAACTTTTGAAATGACTCAGGCTCAATACATTAAGACTCCATGATCCCGTCAGCAGTAAAAGTATGCATAATACTAATAATCTACAGTGAATATTTATATACTCCGTTTCATTGAAACATGCAGTATTGATGCATCAGGATCTCACAAAATTTACTTTATTTGAATAAATTACCAAAATATGAAAGTGACAAAAAAATTCTCAAAAACCTTAAATATATGATATCCCTATGCTACAACAGTGAAATTGCCTGTACTTCTTTAACTATAATATCTATAAAAATAATTATAAAAAAAAGATTGAAAAATGCTGGTTGATTGCAAGTCATGGTTACCAAATAAATAGGAAGGCAAAGAATCTCAGAGACCTTGCAGCATTAGCATCTTGCCATGAAATACAAGTGGTTTCTTCTTTTTAATTCATTATGTTTTCAAGGCCTAGCCTTGAGAAAATCAGATTTCCATCGTATCAAAACTTCCACAATTCTCAAACAGCATCATTTTGAAAGTTAAAAATATTACAATATGACTCTTACTTGACACCTAAGATTAGTGGATAATTCAATAGTTCGTTGCTAAACATGACAATTGAAAAGACAAAGACAAATCACAATATGATAAAGAGAGTGCTATAACAAATTTACATCTAATACTGTCTATCTAAGAACATCAAAGTGAAACACTAGTTCGTCTCCATCAAGCGCTCATTTGCTAACAAAATTTACTGTTATAAATCAGTCTATTAACTCCAGTTTAACTGGTGAAATGAAAATTCTTCTAGATTGGAAATGCAACAACACAAAATAGACCATATAAGATGAACTTTTTGGAGCTACCTCTAGTTCTACATTCAAAATAAGCCAATTGTAGTTATAATCTAAAAATTTGGTGATATAGAATAAGAGTCATTATTGACCGCAGAAATTCTTGGATTCATGCTATTGAAGACATGGAATACAAACTGAAACTTGTAACACATTGTAAAGAAAAAAGTCTTCAAAAGTGGTGTACTTCTATCATAAAAGGACATGAAGCAACAACATTCACAGTTTTCACCTTGCCACAAGTGAGCCAGCAAGCAATGGCATGACTTGCTTCATGCAGAAACACAGTGATGAGCTTGAAAGGTGTGAGTAGAAAGGTCCTCCATAGCTATAATCACCATAACAAAGTAATATCACAAAAGAAGATCAGTTATATATAGCCATTGAGACTAAAATAAATATATATACATGACATTGTACCTTAAATAAATCTACATGAAATGTTGTGTAGTATAAATATGTATGGTTATTAAATCAAAATACAAACTTACTTAATTAACTACTAATATTTAAGTAAAGAGTAGCATACAAGGTTGTAATATATTATAATAAACTAAAGACCACCTTTTGAAAATGTCTATTGTGATGCCAAGTCCACCAAGTTGTTCAGCTTACACAACCATCCAAATGGAGCTACCAAACTTTGATCCAGTCTCAAGTCAACACTAATTTTTGGGAAATAATCTGTAGTCCTCTTACTATCTATCCACATGATTCTCTCACAAAAAATACTTTTACATGTTAATATCATTTATATCACTCCAAATTCTCAAATACTCCATTTTATAACCCCGTCCATAATTACCCACATCTGCATGCAATTGTATTTCTATCAATATCTCTATCCTACCACTATTTTGCTCCAATTTACAATCCCAATCATAATTAGCAACACTTGCATGCAGTTGTATTTCTCTCAACATCTCTTTCCTATCACTATTTTGCAATTCTCAATGCATGATATACCCATTGAAATCAAATAAAGTAAGATATAACTCAATTAACTACAACTACAAGCATGTGTAATAAGTAATAACAATTATAATAGACAGAGAAAGAGTGACTATCATTAATTATAATAAAAATACATACTTTATAATCTAAAGGCTTTAACTCTGAGATCATTACTCTTGAATTTAAATTTTAAACTCTCCTTATTTTCTCTAAAATCTAATTCCTTAACAGGGTATGGTTTCCTTTGTAACGGAGAAAACAAAATTTGGGTTTGGGTTTGAGGGTGTTTTGAGTGCAGAGAGAGGGAAAGAGAAGCAGTAGTGTACCACGAGGATTACAACGGTGAAGGCAGCAACACAAGCAATGAAGACCTTCTGATCATGGTCACAACAGTTCTTGAGCTCCCAGTTCGGCATAGCTGATGTGCTCAAACAAATCGCGAGTGATGAATTGAAGTGAAATATTGAACTTTGATGAACGGTGGTAATGGGTTATGCGTTGTATCAATTTTATGATTGAAGGAAGGAAGCTTTTGGACTGGTGGTGTGCGAATCGACAGAAAGAAGAGAGAGGGGAAGAGAAAGTATCAAGGAAACGCCATTGTATTTATCTATTTATATTTGAAAGAAATAAAACATTTAATATGACACAGTTTAAGAAAGAAAGAAGACAAAGTATTTGATGTGGCCAACGCGTATGTAAAGTCAACCACGTCAATGGACCAATCAACCATTCTCATGCTGTGCTGTGTTGAGTTTTATTTGATTTCTTTATCAGGTGAACCGTTACTTTATCATTTCAAAATTCGAATTTTTTTCTAAAATGAATTACCTCAGTAGGAGTTACTACCAAGTCTCCTTCCATAAGTTTAAGTTAGGTTAAATTCAATTTCTATTTCTTTAACTTGTTGTTTACTAGGTTGGAGTTTTAAGATTTCACGTTTGATTATGTTATCATGTGTTTTTTTTTAATCTTCAATTCAAGAATGAGTTAGAGATGATATTAAAGTTTTTTCTATCTGTAGATAGACCACATTAGACATAGTCTATTATTTTAATTTTTTAAATCAGATATTTATCACTAATATATTAAATTATAAGTTAAATATAATATAATATCAAAATTGTTTATAACCTTATCAAGAAAATATAACCTATAATTTAAATAATATTTTCGATAAAATTTGATTTGGTAACGAAATAATAATAATAATAATTAAATAAAAATATTACGTTATAACTTATACGTTAAGTTTAACTAAAATTAATATTGATTTGAAAAAAAAGTCTACTAGTGTAATATTAAATAAAATATAATGTTTAATGATATATATTATATAATGCATATATTTTGATACTATTATATAATTTAAAAATTATAATTTATCTATTAGAATTTATGATGATAATTTAAAAATTATAACTTACTATTATATAATTTATAATGTATCATATTATTTATATTAATATATTTATAATTTATAATTTCATAATTTATTATATAGATGTATATTAAGAAACTTAAGTTGTAATTTATTATAAATTTACTTTAAAATTTAAAATTATCATATAATATATAACTTTTAATTTAATACATACATATTAATAAATTCAGTTCATAATTTATTATAATAATTTTTATTGTATTATTTATAATATATTATATAAATTATACTTTTATAAAAGTTTAATTTATAATTTTATAATATATTATAATTTATAATAAATTATATTTATAAATTATATTTTATAAAATCATAATAGATTATAATTTGTAATTAGAAAACTTATAGTTTATGATTCATAATTTATAAGTTATAATTGTTTATATAATTTATAATTTATCATATTGTTTCTAATATGTAATTTAGGATATACTTTAAAATTTATTATATTGTTTATAATTTTTTTATCTTACATAATAGTAATATAGAAGATTTACTTTTCATTAATTGCATTTATATATTTCTTCATTTTGTTAATTGGTTATATTTTTTCTAAAATTAATATTAATGTATGCAATAAAATATGTTTTATTTTATGATTTGCTAAATTTGTTATATTTTTATTGACATTGTTGAAAAATATTTAAAATAATTATGCAAGATTGCATATTATTTTGTTTATGGTTCTTGTCAATCACATTTTGAATTTTGAACAATTTGTGCTAGTTTTCAGGATCTAGTTTCACTTAAGTAAATTTGAAAAATATACCAAACAAAGTCATTATAATTAGTTTCGCCAATAAGAATTGAAATAAGCTGTGATTTCAAAATTATGTCTGTGATTTCTCTGTAGAAACACGTCCCAACTATTTAATTGAGTGTTTTTCATACAACACACCCCATGAGAATATAAACAAAATGGGCCTCTTCATTTCCATTTCTCCCAATGCATCTATGTCAAACACAACAAAAGGGTAATGATAAGCTGTAGAGTTAGTCCTCACGGGAATGGTGTCTATACTTTCGCTGCATTTGAGACATATCATCTCTTTCTTTTCTCTTTTGAGAATGCTTGTCTTTGTCCATAGAATGCCGGTGCCCATATTCTTTCTCATATGGACTCCTTTTGTCTTTATCAGTAAATCTTTCTTTTTCAGATGAACTCCTTTTGTCTTTGTCAGTAGATCTCAGGTGTCGATGTTTTTTCTCAGATGAACTCCTGTCATGGTAACCGCCACTCCTCTCCAATGAACTTCTTCCATGTGAGTGGTCATTATCTGGGTGTCTTGCACTTCTTCTGTGGTGTCCTTCCTCCATGTCCACTGAACTTCTGAGGGAATCTTCCTTCTTGTTTCTGTCATCAGACCCTCTTCTATGTCTACGAGAGTCTTCTTCCCTGTCTGAAAGGTTACTTTCTCTTCTAGGAGGCGATGGTACCTTAACATGCAGGGAGAAAATAAAAAACAAATTAACAAACAAATAGAAGTTATAAATATTTTTATCATTTTAATATCTTAAAATATAAATGAGATTATTATAAATAAAACATATTTTCCAAATGAGATATGTTCCAAATGATTAAATAACACCACCTGAAAGCGTGACATGTACCTTCCCTCAGGCGGAGGAGGGATGCCAAGCTTCTTCAACTCCTCATATGGGATTGGTTTCCTAGTCAAATAATAGAGAGCATCAGAAAATCAGCATAGTCAATAAGTATCAGTACCAACAACCACATTTGTATCAGTGCATAGTATAAAATTGGATGAAACCATTGCTGACAACACGGCAGTATCAGAATATTGAGAAAATAAAAATGGCCATTGAGTTTTGGCCGAATCACACCCATGCCCTCTATTGTTTCAAAAATCACATTCACCTCCTGTTCTTTGTACTTCTACTGGGAAAAAAAAAAGTAATAATGAAAATATAAGAACAACTGAGTCTCATCTCACTAGAAGCAATTGACCCCTTTTAAATATTTTAGTCAAAATTAAACCCCTTTGTACATCCTTCCAATCAAGTGAGACACAAAACAGTTGGTGCGATTTAGACAACTTTATAGGAACAACAGTATAATTTTACTCTGATAATCAATCAATTGAGATAATGGTTCAATATTCATTTTTCATTTTAACACACTGGAGATTATCACAAATCTTTCAAAGCTAAATTATAACAATTCAGAAATATATAATTTCAGATATGACTTGGGGAAATGAGAACTGAATTTTACAAGGGTGCACGAAATGGTTTTTCTCTTCCCCCAAAACGAAGTTGTCCTGATTCCTTCTTGCCACTAAGACCACCACCTGTAGAAGAGAACAGAAAGTAATCAGATAGATATGACTCATTGGATAGAAATGCAAGCATGAGTCACTTTAACTAACCTAGCCTTCTAGGAATCCATCCAGGCATCAATTGCTGTCTGTTGTAATCAACTATGATTTCACAATCATCAACAATCAAATGGTGAGCATCCTACAAATGAGAAAATGCAGTAATTTTTCATAACATATCTTTTAATAAAAAGCCATATTTCAAGTCAGGTGAATCCTGATGATTTAATCTGCTACTTGACCTTAGGATGTAAAATCAGTACAGCTGTTTAAAGTTTCAAAAATACGAATGGTGTGTGCATGCATATTAGGCATGATAAAGTTCTAATTTTTTTAGAGTCATACAGTTTTTTTTTTTCTATTATAAGCTAAAAATTAAACAGTTTTTATATGTTGTCGCACCATATATGCTCGTCGCATCTCCCTTTCAGTTTCATATTCAACAAAGCCATAACCACGAGAAGCTCCAGTCACTGCAACCAAAAATAAATAAATCCAATGTAAAAGCTTAAATCCCACAGCTTGATAAGAATTGGCTAAAAGATAACTAACTATATACATATCATTCAAAGGAGTGAACTCATAAAATTGTTAAGTAAACAGCAGGGGTTTTAAGGAAAAAATGTATACAAAATGCAGTACAAATAGCCGCATGGTAATTGCTATATGTTTACAGAGACTCAATAAGGATACTTTTTCAGTAGTTGAGGCAGACTATCGATAAACGAACAAGTCATTCCTAATCTGTTGACATTTCTAACAAAAACAACTTAATAAAAGAAACATTGTTTCCAGGCATGAACAATGTTACTAGCACTATATTATCTCCATAACATGGAAACCAAATTGTAGTAGTAAAACTATATGAAAAGAGGAGTATCTAGATTCATGAGAGACGAGTCAAAAGTAGTTCTTAAAATGGCTTAAATACAATAAAACACAGTCAAATGCAGAGCATTATACAAGCAAGAAATAAAGAAATACTCAATCATATTGACCTACATGCTCAATAGAACACCACTTAGATGTTCTTCAAAAAGCACACAATTTGAAGATGTAAAATAGGTACTGACAGAAACTGAAAATAAAAGAAGGATTAAGAAATGAGGCAGATCAGAGAATGATACCAATGTCCCTGACCAAGCGCAAGTTCTTCACCTGGCCATACTTACTCATAACCTGAAAGTTGAAAACACATTCCATAAGCACTCCGATTAAGCTACCCGAGAAGTTAATTATGCTTTAAAAATGAGGCAGCAAAAGAATAAGTGACAACATCATAACCATGAGTCGGAAGAATGGTCAGTCAATATCCTCCATTAATTTAACAAAATTGTAATCAACTCACGTCCTTCCTGGAAGAATATCATGAGCTTCAAGGAACATAACTAGTTTCAAGCTTATAAGTTATATGCTCCATTCATAGTAATGTTGATCCATTGTTTATGGGGTTAGTAAGGGTCGGAATAGAACCCTAACCAACCATGTATCCTAACTTCTTATTTCCTATCTCCTTTCTTCAGAAAAAATAAATCCACATTAACGAAGTTAATGTGTATATATATAATATTCTAGATACTTGAATTTATCACGTATTCTAGACAATATTGCTTGAACATATCCTATTCGTACCCCATAGAAAAGAAAAGAAAAAATTGTACCTTGTGGAGAGTATCTTGGGTGGTGAGGCGAGAGAGACGTGCAACGAAGAGAGTGCAGTAAGGGTCTCCAGTGGCCTTAGGATCACCAAGTGGGTCATCTGCAAAATTCATGTCTTAAGCATAAAATGGAACCAAAATTGAAATAAATTACTAAAAAAACGAATGAGAAGGAGAAACAGACAGAGGCCAATAGAGGAACAGAGTTGAGCACGATAAACGGCATTGTCGTGAGGAACAACATCGGTCCCGTCGATGCTTCCAGCTTGAATAGGATGGTACGAATCTGCATAGAATACAGAGTTCAAGTTTTTGGACCGAATACTCATTGACCTTCCCTCTTCTTCACTACAACAACACAATCCGAAGAGTTTATAAAGGTTTTTAAGGTTAATAGGCTCCCATTCACCTTTACCTGTTTTGGTCATGAAAAAAATAAAATTTGGTCAAAATAACTCATTTGTGACGCTAGTTTTGGAATTTCGTAAATAATATATTTTGAAAATTTATTTAAATAGAATATATTTAATTTTATTTATCAACTAGATTATTTATTATTTATACATAAAATTCAATAAAAAAAAAGTCTGACGGAATGCACATTTTTTCATATAATACAGGTTTTTTTTCTCTCTTGGCTTATCTTATTATTTTTTTCTTTTTTTTCTCTCACTTTATTTTATGTTTTTTTTCTTTTTTTTATTCTCTCTTTTTGTTTTTTCTCATTCTCTTTTATCCTTCCATTAAAAATAATAAATTGAAATCATTATTTTTAAAAAATAAAAAAACTTAAATAATTTAAAAATATACAATTTAATATATTATAAAATAAGTTTAAGATATTACAAATTATTGTTTATAATTATTAAAAATATTAAATATTTATTTTAAATTAATTTTTTAATAAATATATCCAATCTAACTAATTATCACAACTTAATCTAATTATAATTAGACTAAATTATTAAGTAAAAAATATATTTAATTTATGAACATTTAATATTTTTTTAATTAGGTAAATAATTATTAATGATAAAATAATTTTAAATTAATTATTTATTATCGTAATAAATAAAATTATTTATTGATATCATAGTTTTAAATAATTTGTTGATATATTTTTTTAGTTTTAATATTGATTTTAAAATAATTTTAAGACAAGTAAATTAAAAAAATAAGTAAAAAGGGAAGAGAAAAAAAAAAATATATATATATATACACTAAACAAATTATTTGAATTGGGTAAATAAATTGATTAAGATTCCATTAAAGAAAAAAATTCTTTTAAAATATATTATTTATAGGAGTGATTCTTCATTTGGTGGAACTTTAAAAAATAATTATATTTTTAGTTTCTTTTTTAAGTTAAATTAGTGTGATTTTATTTAATGCTTTAAACTAAATAAACTTGTTTGTGTTTAAAATTAAATAATTTTGATATAGTTTTATAATAAAAATTGAAATTTGTATTTATATGTAAAATCATCAATAATGGGAATTGTATTATATATTTATATTCTTAAAATTCATCGAAATATAGACACTACTTTTTAACATGTCCGAGTAGTGTGGTAGGGTGGAGGTATGGATGCATGACGCCGGGACTGGATGAGCCACTCATACCAGAGGTGGAGTTGTTTCATGAACTGTTATTAAGGTTTTTACAAAACTTACTGAAAATCAATTACCATATTTTGCTATGATCTTGTGGAGTCTTCAGAAAAGAAGAAACAAGAAGTAGATGAATAACAGGGTGGAAGGGGTGATAACAGTAAAAGGACAGTGAATTGTTGTCAATGCCTGCATAGCTAAGCATATAACAAAGAATCAGCCTCTGCAAAATCCCAGCCCAGCATAATTATAATTCTCTTAAACACCAAAAGAAAAATGATTATCAGAAATTCAAAGGATAAAATGGAATGAAGCTACAGTACATTCTACACTAGTAACAAAGTTATATTCTGCAATTAATGTAACAAAGTCATATTCCATTGATAACAACCGGGATGAAAAATTAGTGCGACTAAATTGTCAAACAAAAATGATATATTGAAATACTTTGATAGAGAATATTCTGCCCCAGTACCCCAAGTACGGCAATAGCATACAAATCAGCATATAATAGCAGTTTCGTAGTTTAAAAGACTTCAGAGGGTAAGTGAAAAAATTGAAGAGTAAAAGCCTTCTCTTTTCTTTTATTCAGTTTACAGTGATACAATTCAATTGAAACTACAAGGTTGAGGGAAAGAATTACGATAAAATATAAATATCAACGATAAAACCCAAAATTGTTCCAACTTCCTACAAGAAAGGACTTAACTTTTGTTGTTCTAAATATTTAAGTTTTCTCAATCTCCTCAGGCTCACGAGCTCTTTCAGTCTTCCGCAATAACTGTCGAGCCATTTTTAACTTGCCACACTTCTGAAACACGTTTTCAAAATTGTCTCTTGCATAAGCTGATAAAGGAATACCCTTTTCAAGCATTGACTTGGCTTTCTCATAAGCGGCATCTAGTTGACCTTCTGAACACAGTTTCTGTAACTTCTGGTTCTGCAATTTACTTTCCAATTTAACACACATATCCAACCGATCATGCTCTCTCAAAAGACTCTCTACTAAATCGTAAGTCTGAAAATTTGGCATCAATCCTAAACTCAACATTTCGAACAATAAGTCATAAGCAACTTTCCAGTTCTTAACCTCACCATGAGCATGGACCAGAGCAATGTAGGTTAAACCATCAGGAAGGCATCTGTTCTTGTTCATGATTTCAAAGACTCTGGTTGCATCCTTTAACTTTCCCAATTTACACAACATCGTTATAACAGAATTATAAACAACCAACTTCGGCTTTAAGCCACAGGTCAACATCCTCCCAAACAAATCACTAGCTTCCTCCACTCGGCGGCATTCGCACAATGCCTGTATAACAACACAGTAACCCTCTTGAACACACCTTAGCTTCCTTTCCTCAACAATCCTCAAAACTCTAACAGCTTCTTTTGTATTACCCAAGCGACAAAGCTCACATATAAGCTTAACCACAACAAAAGCACTAGGTAACAAGCCAGCCTTACAAACTGCCCAAAACACTTGAAGTGCGGGCTGCATTGCATCATTATTTCCTTCCATGTTAGGAACTAATATAGTATACGGTCTCCGAGTGTTCCTCACTCTCACCTTCTCTACAGACCCTTCTTTTGCACTCATCAAACACAGATCCCCAATAAGCATGTTAACAGCAGAACGAGTTGGAAGCACTTCAATCTTGTCCATTTTATTAAATATCTCAAGGGCCGACTCTAATCTACCAAGCTTACAAAAACCAACAATCATGTTACTGCAGGAATAGGTATCAGGAGCTTCAATCTTGTGAAAGATTGTAAGTGCAAGCTGAATCATCTCCAAGGATGATTCCCTCTTGCAAAGCACATAAAGCATGTTATTACACACAAGGTTATCAGGCTTACATTTAAACACAGTCTCCATTTCCTCAAACAGTGACAATGCTTCCTTAATTCTACCTTGTCTCCCTAAAAACCTGATGCAAATGGACAGTGCCTTAGACGACACTCGACCCATGTGAAACGACACTGTGGTCAACAAGCACCTGATGTCATCAAAGAGCTTCCTTCTACCCAAGAAATCAGCCATGTACTCAACGACGGAATCGTCGAACTGAAACCCCATGTGGGTCCCGGCCAAGGAGAAGAATTTCAACGTCTTGCCCCTACCCATTTGCTTGTAGCTCCTTAAAACGCGAAGCACGAGGTTGGAGGTTAAGTCTCGCTTGTGACAAGTCAAAACACGAGCCAAGTCGTTGTCATTGGCGCAAGAGACGAGGTCGGAGAGTAGAGAGGAAGGGTAAACGACATAAGAAGGGGGTGCCTTGGTGCGTGAGATTGGGAAATTAGGGTGAGTTTGGGGAGAAGGGGAATGGAGAAAACGTGAAGATGCACTGAAAACTCGAACAAAGAAAACAGCGGCATGTCGAGTCCTGCAAATCATTACAGTTCTAAAGACAAAAGAAATTGAATTCTGAGCTTCTTCTTCCTCTCTTGGATGGATTGAATTCCAGGTTGCAAACATTCATGATTGTTGTATTCCCAAGCTGCTATGCATTGCATTTTCATTCAATGGTACAAAACAATGAACAAATTCGTAATTTACCTTCTTTTAATTTTTTTATTTTTTTTCATTAGTTACAAATTTCCTAGAGGTTCCACCATTTAGAAGAAAACATATAAGCTTAAATAATGTTTTAGAGAATTATATTAAAAATATAGGTCTAAAGAATTCTAATAAAAAAAATTAAACTTGAACGAACAAGAGAGGAAGACATTTGCTAATGTAGTATTAAAAAAAATATGTTTTACCATGTTTTATTTTTCACTTAAACAAAAGTATAAAACAGAAAATTATAACTTGACTATATTTTTAACTAAATAACCATTTAATAATTCATTTAAGTAATATAATTATAATAAAATGTTAAACTTTTACATATTATTAGTATTACATTAAAATAAGTTATAAAATAGTTCCATGAAAAAATGTTGATTGTTCCATCATTTCTCATAATAATACAAGTATTATTTTTAAAATGTTTTTTATTTTTTAAATCATATCTTTAATCGGTTTTTATAATTAAATTTAATATTATAAAATGATAAATAATATTTTTATTTTGAATATAAATTGTAATGGTTTATATATCTATTCTTGATTGTTCCCCTATATGACATATTTTATAACTGTTTTTCGGGCTTTTTTTTTTTTTTTTTACTTAAAGAGGATTAAAAATTTTTGATTTTTCTAAAATTGGTTAAAACTTAGGAGGTGGGACAATTTTACCTTTAAAATCATGATTGGAAGCATGATTTTGATTAAAATTGTGTTTCCAAATGCAATTTTAGTTTTTTTTTCCTTGTGTGTTATGGAGCACGACTTTCTTTTTTATTTTTTTGGAAAAAAATGCTTTTTTAATATATTATTTAATAAATAATTGTTTTCAATTGAATTATTAATTTAATAAAAAATAAAAATATTTAGACAAACATGATTAAATTTAATTCACTATATTTATATTAAAATATTACATATATATATATATATATATATATATATATATATTATCATCACAGTAAAAAATTAATGGTGAGATCCTCTTTCACAAGGTGATCTTCTTATTTGTTGTCTTAATCAACGTGGTTGATCTTGAATAGATCTTTATTGTACTTGTGACACTGTGATGGTTGAAGTTGAATGTTTGCTTGTCTATCATCGTCATTATCATCATCATCTTCATTTGCATATTGCATAGGGGACATACTAGGCATAATAGTCACGAAAAGTGTTTGATTGTATGTTGACGGTGATGTCATGGAAGAGGTGGAAAACATGTTTCTTTCATATGGAAACGAAGTAAGTAAATGTATGAGGAACACATCCTCCAACTTGAAATTACGCACGTAAATTTTGGAGTTGATCAATATATCCAAAATATGGATAAGGTTGTTGATGACTCGACTGACCAACATGTTGATGACTTGATTGACAAAAATGTACATGACTCAACTGACCAGCATGGACATGACTAAGTTCATCAATATATTGGGGTTATTCCTGCTGCTATGTAGCGTACTGTTAAAGAATAAAATCAATATTAGTTTGATATGAATGTTATATATATAAAATATAATTATTGATATACTTACTCCTTCATCTGAATCTTCTTCCTGGGTAGAGGAAATATACTTGATAGTATGTTGAAAATATCATATCATATATGTTGTATTTTCACGCAAGTGGTCATTCTCGTTGAACTCGTTTCATTGAATTAGTCGATTGTGACGTTCATTTCATATAGTAGTCCAAGTTTCATGGTATTGAGGCCAAAATCTATCAATTCTACCTCTCATGTCTTCTTTGTGAAGTTTGTCAAGATTGATCGGGTCTTCTGGAATTGGTTGGCGAAGTCTAAGTTTCCTCATAATCCGATTTGCTAGATGAGTCTCAACAATAGCAAAACATATTATTAGAACTATAGCACAACTCACAGGAGAAACATCAACATTATTAGTCGTTGTAACCCAGGACGATGATAAGGAGTCCACAAAAACTTATTATTTTATAAAACTTGTAAAATTAGAATTATTATCATTTAAGAAATACATATTGAAAGTTGTATTAAAGGAAATACCTCCTTTGTTTTTAATTGATCAAATGTTAGACATAATATATGTACAATATATGTAATCATGTTGACCTTTGACCTGGTTGTGACCACCTTTTGCATACAAAAAATATACTATTATAAAATGAAGTAATATGAAAGAAAGAAATAAAATAAAATAATATAAAATAAATTTGAATACCTTTTTAACCAATGGGAAACCATACCCATTAGCAATCTCCTCATTGGTTAAATCTTCTATCTTAGGACAGATGCATGTAATATGGTCTCATGTCCAAGCTTAAAGCAATAACATGCATCCTTTAATGTTCTCCTGATGGTAATCAACGCCACGATCTAACGCTCTATACAAACATGTCAAAACAGCTAATCCCCAACTATAGTTTGAAACTAGAGTTAGATCCTGCAATAATAGGAGATACATTAAATACACTTTAGATGCTGAAGTATCTCACAATAATAAACTCCCTATTATTATCAGTATGTGTGTCCTGGCATGTTGTGCGACAACGTTATCGTCTGCATTATCTGGAAGGTGTTGAATCGAAGTGTTTAACTAAGACAATTTTATTGTGTTCCCTGTAGCAATACCTTGCGGTGGGGGCGAACCTAATAATTATTTGCAAAAGATGGTCAAATCTCCACTACTAAGACTTGGCAGTTCATCGCCTAATTGTAAGGTCACATCTTCTAATATAATTGTGGGTTCTTCGATAGGAAAATGAAAGGTGTGAGTTTCAGTTCTTCACCTTTCAACTAATGTTGTGATCAAATGATGATTTATGTCAACAGTTCCAATTGTCATTAATTATCCAAATTCAGTTTGGTGGATTAAATTTTTAACGCGATTACCCAATATGTGTGTATATTTTGTTATCTATATGTTATGTCGCCTAGGATGTAATAATCTTTCATTTCTTGCCCACAATGTCTTTGTTACATGTTTGTCCTAAAAACGCAATAAAGACATATATGTAGACAGATGACGAATGGAGGAAGTTATTTATATAAATTACACATGTTAATAATATTAACGATATTAATAAAATCAAAATTAACAAAAACAAATAATAATAATAATAATAATAATAATAATATTAATAATAATAATAATAGTAAGAATGATAATATTAATATGAACAAATAATATAAAAGAAATAAAAAACAGCAAAAATAAATATTAATAATAATAATAACAATAATAATAATAATATTATTATTATTAATAACAATAAAAATAAAAATAATAATAAGAATAATAATAATAATAATATGAATACATAATATAAAAGAAATAAAAAAGAGCAAAAATATATATTAATAATAATAATAGCATGATATTAGCTGTTAATATGTATCAGCTATTAATATCAGTTAACAAAATGATAAATAATTTAAGCTAATAGAATATGAAAAAAAAATTGAAAAAAGCAACACATTGATGAGAATAATGAAAATTAGCACGACATAAGATTAGTAAATATTTATTTATTTCAATGTAACAATAAAAATAAAATAAATAGAAATGATTAGATGAAGAATGGAACGTATCAATGTATGAATGAAACATATGAGTGTATGAATGTAACAACATACTTCATAAATACAAGACTTAAAATATGTAGCATATGAGAACACTCAAAATGAAGAAGTGATGAAGAACATTGAAAATGAAGGAGTGATTATAAACATATGAGTGTTGGAAAATTAATAATAATAATAATAATAATAATAATAATAATCCTGATTTTGATTCTAACAATCAAACATAAACATAATCCCATACTGATAAACATGCTGTAAACTGAATGCGAAAGCGTACCTGAATTAGCCATAACGATGATGTCTTTGTAGAGCACTATATTGATCTTATGGTCTTCCACCTGAAGAACACCTGTATTTCCCTCTTGATTTTCTCTCTTGATGGGGATAGAAAGAAAGGAACGGGACTGATACTTACGTTCTGTGTGTGTGCTCTCAGAAGGGGACCATGACCCTTTAGATAACCAGAATTAGGTTAATTACTTAAGTTTTAGTATTTCCAATTTGGCCCCTCATCAAATTAGAAATTGCTCTATGGTCTCTACACAATTTTATTTTCATGACATATGCTTTTAGCCAAAACTTTAATTTAGTCAGATCACTTTATTATTTGGCTTAATAAATAATGACCCTAACACATTTAAATTATGTATCATATATATACATGACCCAAATTTTTCCAACAATCTCCCACTGGTCACAAATATATATGTCCTTACAACCTTACAAATGTGTTAGACTTTATGAGCTCAAAATTGCCATTATATTCCTTTAGCATACTCCAAAAGTCCTGTCCATTAATCATATTAGGATATAGAACCAAACCAGCTTTTCATTGCATCATCGCAACTAAAACCAACAATGATTACTCATCCTAACATAACCAAATGACATGGATTCATCATGAAATGTGTAGCATGAAAAATTACGTGAAGGTGATCTGTACACGTCTATTTTCAACTGGTCCAAACTTTAAGTTATTGAGATCGATATAATATCCTTAATGTACAAAGTGTAATGAATGAACGAAAAAACCGCATATCTATAGATAACCAAATATGTCCAAAAAACAATGTATACATATATGAAATTAAACATAGAACATAAAATATATAAAAGTGACTAACTCCCACTAAACCACAAATTCCTCAAATTGTAAAACACCCATGTGAGCAAAATGCTCATGAAAGACCTTGGGCGGAAGTCCTTTAGTCAGAGGATCTGGTATCATGGAGTTTGTCCTTAAGTGTTCTATGAAAATCTGTCCACTTTGTACTCTTTCCTTAACAATACAGCTGATTTATTGTCACAATATAACTTAAGTGGTCTTTCAATGCCTTTCACAATTTGCAGCCCTGTGACAAAATTTATCAGCCATATTCCATGATTTGATACCTCATAGCAAGTTACAAATTCTTGACATCCTACAAAATCTGAGTCAGAAAACCCAGCGATCTCCAACTGGTCTGACCTCCTATATGTGAGCATATAATCTTTTGTTCTCTTTAAATATCTTATGACCCTTTTTGCTGCTTTTCAATGGTCTATTCCTGGATTGCTTAAATATCTGCCTAGAACCCCAACTATATATGCTATGTCTAGATGCATACATACTTGGGCATAGATCAAACTCCCTACAACTGATGCATAGGGAATCTTTTGCATTTCCTCAATTTCCAAATTCCCTTTGGGCACTGATTGAGACTAAACTTGTCTCCCTTTAAACTTGTGATACATACAATCATCAACAATATTCATCTTGAAGCCAAATGAGTTTCATACCTTCTGGTAATGGGACAAGTTCCCAATAACCTTATTGTCTTGCATGGACTTATACTTATCCTATTGCTTCAATCCACTTTTGAGATTTAGAACCTTATATAGCTTGACGGAAGTTAACTGGATCATCTTCCATTATATCATTATTTTCCTCATGTTCCTGAAGAAATACCATGTAATCATCCGAAATAACACTTCTTCTTTCTCTAGTGGATCTCTGCAAAGTTATTAGCTCATGATGCACAGGTTCTTGAGGATCTTGAGTTTGTTCTTCATGAACAACCAAATCATCTTGAGTAAGGGGTTCATCAACAATGCCTTGTGGAGGTTCCGAACTTACTTTATCAAAAGTAACTATTTGAATTGGTTCTGAAATTGTTACCGATTCTTCCTCCAAGATGAAGTTCTTAATCTTATTCTTCCCCCCAAACTTAATATCCTCAAAGAACGTAGCAGTTCCCGTCTCAAAAAATGTCTTTAATGTGGGATCATAAAATTTATATCCCCTAGATCTTTCAGCATAACCAATAATATAATCACTTACTGTTCGGGAGTCCAATTTCTTTTCATTTGACTTATAAGGTCTTGCCTCAGCTGGACAATCCCACACATGGAAATGCTTCAGACTAAGTTGTCGCCCAATCTAAAGCTCATAAGGTGTTTTGGTAGTTGCTTTAGTTGGTACTCTGTTTAGAATATAAGCTGTCATATTTAGTGTCTCTCCCCAAAGTGATTCCAGTAAGGTGGAATGACAAATCATACTCTCTACCATATCTTTAAGAGTGTAACATAAGCCCAAACGTTACAATTTGATGTTACCTGAGCACTTGTGCCATAATGCACTTGAGTAAGTATTTTCAATTTTACGTTTAGTACCACATGATTCTGCATTAAGGGTTTCATTATAGGTGGCCACAATATCAAGTAAATACTGATTATCATAAATTAAAAGTGAACCAGTTCCAACAATATCTGAATTAAAAGACAAACTGAACTTATTGTTTCCAAATGAACATAAATAACCTAATTTGTCCAAATAAGAAACTGAAACCAAATTCCGTCTAAATGACGGCATAACAAAAGTGTCTTTCAAATTCAAATAAAAAATCAGTACTTAATAATAATTTAAAATGACTTATAGCTTCCACCTCTACCGATTTGTCATCTCCAACATAAATCCATCTTTCAGAATCAATTGGCTTCCGGTAGTTTAGGCAACCCTTTCTTTTCATGCCAAGCATGATATTTAGCACATTTCTTCTTTACGTGTCCAATCTTATTGCAAAAGAAATATTTGTTTTCTTGAGTTTGTTTCTTTTGTTCTGGACCCTTAGCACCTTCTTTCTCGAGATCCTCTGATCTCTTTCTTTTGCCCTTAGCCTTGGAGGTGCTTGCAAAAAATGAGCACTTTCTGTCTTGTCTTGCTTTAGTCTTTCCTCTTCTTGTACGCAATGTGAAATGAGCTCATTAAGAGACCATTTATCCTTCTGACAGTTGTAAGATACCTTAAATTGATTAAACGTTGCAAGAAGAGAAATCAACACCAAATGAATGAGCAAGTCTTCTGAGAGTTCAAGCTTTAGTGCCTTGAGTTTAAAAACAATATTAGACATGCTCATAATGTATTCCCTGATATTTCCTTTGCCTTGATATTTCATGGAGATCAAGTTCTGAAGAAGAGTGCTTGTCTCCGCCTTATCGCTTTTTGCAAAGCGCTGCTCAATTTCAGCAAGGAATTCTTTGGCACTTGTGATGTTTTCAGAAACAGTGCCCCTAAACACCTCCGGGATGCCACGCTTATTGATCATTAGACTCATGCAATTTGAGCGATCCCACTTCTCATAATCTCTTTTCTGTTCAGAGGTACTTGAATCCGTAAGAGTAGGGGTTTGCTCAGTCCTTAACGCAAAATCCATATCCATGCAACCAAGAACAATATCAATGTTCTCTTTCCAGTCCTTAAAATTTGTTCCATTGAGGACCGGAACATAATTTAAATTGGCAGATATAGAAGCAATTGTAGCTGAATTTAGAACACGAGAAATAAACTAATTATGCTCACATTATATAAAAAATAAATAATATATATTCAAATAGTGGTTTAACCCATCTCAAGATACCCAATGCACCATCAATATCAAGTCTTTGGACAGGTAATATTAACTGCTAGAGGTATCTTGTTGTAATAATCAAACATTGACAATAAAGCACGTCCAACAACAAACCAGTCTTTGGATTAATTTATCATCGACAAAGCAAATCCTTATAATTATCACATGTTTATCATTACAAGTGTGTATGCAATTCGGCCAAATATTAATCTTCCTTTGGGCCGACTAATACTCGCATGAATATACACAAACACTAACATTCAATATTTTTCATGAAGCTGCCCAATTCAAGAGAAGTTACTTTGGTGACTTCTTGACTCAATTTGCTCACAAAAATATTAAACTACCAAAAATTGAATATTTTATTTATATAACAAAACCAAATATTTAATATTTGCAAACTAATTCAAAAGAGAATCACCTCATTATAATTCTACTAAGGATGAACATCTCCCTAGAATCTCATTAGGGATGAACACCTCATCTGAACAAATCAAAGGATGAAAAAAGGCCTCATTTTCCACCAATACCTAAAGGATGAACATCTTCCTAAAATCACACTAGGGATGAAACGAGAGATAGTTACGAGTCTCTTTAACATACTTGCTCTAAACCCTAAAAGGGAATTAAACGAGTAATCACTCGAGACCCTAATTTAACATCAAATTTTCTTTAAATTCCTAGGGGATAGAGGCAATAAAATAATAACGACCAAACATGTGGAAACATTCATCATTTACCTAAGATTCTCTGTATTGGGAACTCCACAAACACCACCCCCAATTCCAAACCCATAAAATTAAATAAAAACAAAAGATTCAAAAAAGAACAGAGAACCCAATACAAGAAAAATTGAAATATGAAACACTGTTTCTTTCTCGATAAAACTTGAAACCTAAACTGAAACAAAAGTGAAAAACGAAGAACAAGAAGAATCCATAGCTTCTTCCACGGTTCCATCAGCGAGCAGGAATCAGATTGGGATGTTACCCCCAAATTTAAATTTTAGGGTTCACAAAAATTAGAGATTATCCTCCACTTAGGGTTCATAAAATTGAGTAATCTGAATTGTTTAAAACAAAATTAATCCTAATTTTCATAATTAGGGTTCTATAAATTAAACGAGACATGAATCAAATATGGGCGACTCGATACCAATTGTTGGAAAATTAATAATAATAATAATAATAATAATAATAATCCTGATTTTGATTCTAACAATCAAACATAAACATAATCCCATACCTGATAAACATGTTGTAAGCTGAATGCGAAAGCGTACCTGAATTAGCCATAACGATGATGTCTTTGTAGAGCACTATATTGATCTTATGGTCTTCCACCTGAAGAACACCTGTATTTCCCTCTTGATTTTCTCTCTTGATGGGGATAGAAAGAAAGGAACGGGACTGATACTTACGTTCTGTGTGTGTGCTCTCAGAAGGGGACCATGACCCTTTAGATAACCAGAATTAGGTTAATTACTTAAGTTTTAGTATTTCCAATTTGACCCCTCATCAAATTAGAAATTGCTCTATGGTCTCTACACAATTTTATTTTCATGACATATGCTTTTAGCCAAAACTTTAATTTAGTCAGATCACTTTATTATTTGGCTTAATAAATAATGACCCTAACACATTTAAATTATGTATCATATATACACATGACCCAAATTTTTCCAACAATGAGAACACTCAAAATTTGTAAATTGTATTTATAGGCAGAGAAAAATGAATCTGGTAAGAAAAATCAACACCCAAATGGATGGATAATTGAATTATGAACTCTTGCAAGATTCCTAAGTCGTTTGTGCTACTCTTGACACTATTGTTCTCCTGAAGCTCTTCACGCTTAAAGCAGATTCAACAAGGAGGACATTGTGCTCAAATGACGCTGGTTACTGTTGCTTGCATTGAAATCGTGGCAACATTCACGATTTCTATATGAAATGGTGAGAGAAAATCGTCACAGCAGGGACGATTCTTCTTTGAAAATTGTCATAGTTCCCACGACTTTGCCATTTGTCTCGCTGCATTCTCGCACTACCATACATGACTTCAACACATTTGTTTAATTGCCGAAGTCGTTTTTACTTGCACGATTTTGAATTATTTCTTATTTCAATATGCATTAATTACATGTTATATAGACAATGACTCATCAATAGTTTGCTACAATTTTTGTTCAGATAAATAGACACACACTACAAGAAATACTAAAAATACTGACGGTCAAAATCCGTCGGAAATAACAAAAATTTGTTGGTAAATAAATATTACTGACAGAATTTTGACGACCAAAAATCCGTCGGATCCGTCGGTAATATTTTTTATCATTTATTATATTTTTTAATTATTTATAGTCTATATTTTTAGAGATCCTCCTCCCCTTTATATTTTTATTATTTATTTTCACCCATTATATACTCAAACCACTAAGTTACTAGAATTTTTTGATAATAATTTACAAATAAATTATATTTATATACAAATAAATGTATATCCATGTAAATATATAAATACAAATATATTTATATATTTAATTTTTTTAAATTATGTAATTTAATAAATTATTATAAATTAATCTAATTATGATTAAATTAAATTATTAAATAAAAAATATTTTATTTTTTAATTAGGTGAATAATTAATTTATTAGAATATAATTTTACCGATGGATATATCCGTCGGTAATTAATTGTTAATTTGTCCATGGATTTACTTGATGAAAATATACGTCGGTAAATAATTGTTAATTTACCAACGAATTTACCGATGAATATATTCGTTGGTAAATAATTGTTAATTTATCGACGGATATACTTGTTGGTAATTAATTATTATTTTACCGATGGATAAATCCGTCGGTAAGGCCAAATTCCACAAATTCTTTATATCTCATTGGTAATGACTCAATTTCCGATGACTATAAATCCGTTGGTAAAAATTCGTCGAAAATATGTGATTTTCTTGTAGTGACAGTTGAATAATTGTAACAGGACTTTGAAAGCCTATATAGATTTTGTACTTCTTTGTAGATTTTGTACTTCTTTTTTGTTTGATAGAAAAAAATGAATTTGTAAACGTTGAAAAAAAATCCATCAAAGAAATAACTCTATCCATAGAGGAAAAAAATGAATTGCATAAGTGCAAAAGCCGTATGCATCATTATGCATAAAATGTTTGTAAGGTTATTGAATATTCTTTTTGCTCATTTTTATTTTCAATGTTTTGTTTAAATCAACACATTACACTTTACTATTTCTAGTTATTGAAATTTAATTTATAAATGTAAATTTAAGTATATTTTATTTAAATTTTTTAATCGGTTATGTTTTTTTAAATTTTATATATTATTTACATTTTTTATATAAGTAAATTTTATTTAAATTTTTTAATCAATTACTTTTTATTAAATTTTATATTTTATTTACATTTTTTATTTAAGTATATTTTATTTTATTTTTTAATTAGTTACTTTTTATTAAATTTTATAAATTGTTTACATTTTTTATTTAATTATATTTTAGTTAAATATTTTATTCATTTACTTTTTATTAAATTTTATAAATTATTTATATTTTTTAGTCATTTACTTATTTTATTAAATTTTATAAATTATTTAAGTCAATTTTCTAATTAGTTTTATTTTTAATTAGATGGACATGATTTCAAGTTGGTATCTCGTCCATGGTCGTTAATGATCCTATTATTCAAGATATTGTTGAAGATTTAACTAATGAAGAAGAAAATGATTTTTCCACTACCTATATGAATGATGATGTCTTGCTACGTGTTGGACAATCGTCAAATCAATTTATCTAGACAAGCAAAAACGAAAACAACATCTGGGAAGGTCAGTGTTTTCCATCAAAACAGGCAATAGTAAGTGCAATCATACAATTTTATATTGATTGGGATACAAATTTTCTGTTGTTGAGTCTAAAGCTAACGAATATATTGCTCGTTGTATACATTATGACAACGGGTGTCAATAGAGAGTTCGTATGTTTCAGTACAATGTTAAATCCGGATCATCAAAACTTAGCATCTTTCATCATTGCTAACATTATTTTTGAATTAGTTATAACAGATCTCTCTGTTCCTATTAAAACTTTGATTACAGAAGTCAAAGACAAACATGGCTATACAGTGACTTACAAAAAGGCATGAGTAGTTAAAGAAAAGGCACTTATTGTGACATTTGAAAATTGGGACGACTCATATAATGATCTTCCAAGGTAGTTGCAAGCTGTTGAAGATAATAATCTCAATACAATTGTTTAGTACGTTTGTTCTCCTCATTCAGTGCATGGTGTTCATAGTAATCCATCATTCATATTAGAGCGTGTCTTCTGGTCAGTTAAGCCATGTATAAAAGGGTTCAAATATTGCAAGCCAATTATTCAAGTTTACGGTACATTTCTAACAGGAAAATATCATGCTACGTTATTGATTGCAACTTCACAAGATGACAATAGAAACATATTTCCACTTGCATTTGCAATTGTAGAAGGTGAAACAAAAGAGACATTGGTATGGTTCTTGCAACTTCAAAGACATTACGTTACACCTCAAAATAATTTATGTATGATAACAAACAGAGACAAAGGAATATTGTCACCTTTACAATAAGAAGATTTTGATTGGAATGATCTCACCTCAGTGTATTGTATTCGTCATATTGTCTCAAATTTCAACAAAAAGTTCAAAATGTTGATTTGAAAAGACAACTCATCAATCTAGGTAACATCTTCTAACGTAGACAAATTATTTTCTCTAAATAAAATATGTCTAAAATAATATTTTTCTATGGAGGATATGAGATGAAACAACCAAAACTTTTAGCAAAACTATCTACTTTAAAGTTTGACTTTCAACAACAAAAGTCAAGGTTAGATGAGATTCCATTGGAGAAATGGACTCAAACTTATGATGGAGGAAAACGATATGAACATATGATAACAAATCTTGTTGAGTCTATGAATTTTGTTGTCAAAGGAGTACAAACTTTACCTATATCTGCCTTAATAAAAACAACTTTCGAAATAATTAAATCTTGGTATGTAGAAAAAACATGAAAGCAGAGTACATGTTACGAGCTGGACATGAGTATCCAGAACAACATATTACTACACTGTTTAACAAAAACGAACAACGTGTTCAAATGTGTCATATTCAAAGATATAATCGAGATAATTGTAAGTTTGACGTACAAGACCAATCTAATCCCAACTATCGTCGAAGATTGTTAAGTTACACAGTTCGATTAAATAAATGATGGTGTGATTGTGGGGAATTTCAAGCTTTTTGACTCTCTTGTTTTCATGTTATTGTTGTATGTTCTTCTTATCATTTACAACAAACTACATTTGTCGATCCGATTTACAACTTACAAAGCATTTATAAGGTGTATGAATTTCAATTTCAACCGGTTCGAAATGAATATTATTTGTCTACTTATACAAGTCCAAATTTTTGTCTTGATCCTAATATGCGTCGAGACACCTCAGGAAGACCTACAAACTAATCAGATTCGAAATGAAATGGATATACAAATTGGAAATAAACTAAAAAAATGTTCCTTTTGTCGAAATGAAGGACATAATTGTGCAAATTGTCCATTTTGACAATAAATTTATATTTTTTTAATAATATAATATTTTAATATAAATATAGTGAATTAAATTTAATTATGTCTAAATATTTTTATTTTCTATTAAATTAATAATTCAATTAAAAAGAATTATTTAATAAATAAATATTTTAAAAAATAAATAAAAAATCCTATTTTGGAAAGAAAAAACAATTATTCTTAACTCGATAGCATATTTTAAAAAAAAATATAAACCATTAAAATTGTGCTTGGAAGTATGATTTTTGTCAAAATTATGCTTCCATGCATGATTTCACGTCTTTAAACAAAAATTGAAATCACTAAAATTGTGTTTGAAAAAATTGTGTTTCCAACACGATTTCAATACCCAAAATTATCACTCTTTATACTATTTAGTTATTTTGGTAAAATTTAAAATTTTCGACCCCATTTAGTAAAATTCAAAAATTTTTAACTCCTCTAATAAAAAAGCCGTTTTTCTGGTTAGGAGAGAGTGATGATCTAAATATATATTTTATATTAAAAAATTATAAAAACTAAGATATAACAATTTTGAATAAAATGAATATTCACTTAAATAATTTTTTACATCTCAAATGCAATTTGACAAGTTGAAACTTAACAGCAAGAAAATAAATAACTCTTGAAATTTAATTAATTTTAAACTGAATGGATAATGTTAGATATTGTTTAGATATTATTTAATATTGTTAAGATATTGTTAGATATTAACCATAATATCAAACAATATCTTCTGTTTATTCTGTTACTTTCAGTTACTCTTTTAGTTGTATCTCTCTACTATAAATAGACTACCCTATGTGTGATTTATACACAAGGGAGATTAATCCCAAACTCTATTTCTTCTATATTCAACATGGTATCTAGAGCTTAAGGTTATTTTGAATTTTTTTTTTGGCCTTAGACCACTATTGAAGTCGCCACCACCGCCGCTATCGTTGTCGGTTATTTGGTAGTGTGAAAGTGCATGTCTAGGAAAGTTCTGACAAGGAAAGACTTGGTATTTAAGCGTGTCCATTAGTGACCCACCTCTCTTTCCTGGGAACTTACCTGGTGTACTGGTTCACGCCGCTGTCACTATCGCCTTCGCCCTTTATGAGTTCTTCCGCTCCTTTTAGTACTTCCAATTCTGTCAGTACTGCGTCTGATCCTTCCATCTACACTAACTATGTTAATGTGCACTTATCCATTGACAAGTTAACTGGCCCTAATTATGCCACATGGTCATCAGACGTCAGATTATGGCTTAAGAGTCAGAAGTATCTTGATCATCTTGCCCCGAAAGCACCTACTCTCACTCCTGGTGAGGAAGACCGTTGGGACACCATTGATGCTCAATTATGCGTGGTTCTCAAGGGTACCCTTGATCCTTCGTTAAAACAAATTTTTCGTTCCTACGAAACATGTGCAAAAATCTGGGAACATGCCAAGTTATTATACACCAATGATACTCAACGTCTCTATGATGTCTGTTCTAAATTTTTAGATGTTATTTCCTCTAAACATCAAGATTCTATGACTGATTATATGGGCAAAATTCATGCTCTTTTTCATGAGTTCAATGAGTTATTGCCTCCTTCCCCCGTCATGGATCCATCTCCTTCACCCATCGTCTCCCACGAGTATCGTTTATCTGGGTTGGGAATCCTCTAAGCTCCGTCTCAACACCCCGTGCCATTTTCATGGCTTGAAGTCTGGTTTGAGGATTTAGGGTTCGAACCCTTAATCTAATTTCTGATCTCAAGCCTCCCAAAAAATACCCTAAATATTGCTCCTCAGGAAGACGACTTACCTATGAAGAGAGGTATTCGAAATCTGCAATATACTCTTCTACTTCTCCTACTTGTTGTAGATCCTTCAATTCTTCGAAGGGATTGTCACAACATTTGCCACCATATCTCTCAATCATGGCTTTCTTTAATTTGAGCCAAGTGAGATCATTCTCAGTTTCTCTCCACAAATTGAACTAGTGGATGGTGGTTCCTTCCATACAAATCTTAGCCAACCTGAGCTTCACCTCCTTCGACAAACCATGCAACTTAAAATACGTTTCAGCCCTAGTGATCCACCCAACCGGGTCACTTCCCTCAAAAGGTGGAAGCTCTACTTTCTTAACGGCCACTTTGAACTCCGAATTAACATCTTTCGACGCCAATGACACACCCTTTGGTGCAAGTTGATTTCGCATCCTAGTGAATTCCTCCATCATCACCATCTCGAAACTCTTCCATTCTCAGCCGAAGGATTCTTCCAACATCGACATCTTTCCTTCCAAAGCATCTACTCGTCGGACATCCTGGTAGTCATGGACAAGTAGAGATTGCTAGCTCCTCCTCGAAGTATCCGGCGGGTCGGACCAATTGATAGGAAACAACAACAACAATAGAACAGTACAACGAAGAAATAGAAAAAAATGCAGCAATAAGATACTGGTTTTAGCCTAGTACTCGTGCAACACAAGGATAAAGACTTCCTTGTTGCATTTGGGGGATCCAAAAAAGAGCCATCAAATCAGGTGGAAGTGTTGATAACAGAAAAAAATGAATCAAGAAGGCAACCAACTTCTACCAAAGGTCAAAGATCTGTTCTACTTGAAAAACATTCATTATCTGCTGGATTGGCTTCTCAACTAAAAAGAGACTCTTCCCAACATTTGATCAACTCTGTTGGTCGACAAAGTCTTGCATCTGCAATTGAACATGGTTTGGAAAGGAAATCTCTGTCTGAAACCCTGCTTGAAAAAGATTCCAATTCCCTCCCTACCAACATCTCCCTTCGCAGGCAATTTGATCATGATGAAGAGTACAATCCAGATGTCAGGATTGACAGGCATTCAGAAGATGAAAGTTTTTTCCCTCGGGCTGCTGATCATAGAACAAATAAAAATGACCCTGGAAATCACATGAGCTCAAGTGGAGCCAAGACCATCATGGAGGAACAGGTGTCAGTATCTGGAAATTCAAATCAACAAAACCTTGGCTTTGGAAACCCTTTGCTAGAAAGTGATGATGTGTCAAATCAATCGGGATCACTGTCCGCTGCTTCAAGCATCTATCATTATTATGAAACTAAAGTGGCTTCCCTTCTGAGAAAATTTGGCATTCTGGAGGGACAATTGTCAGCTGCATTAGCAAGCAGAGAAGCTGCTGAGAAAAGCTTAGCATCTGCCTTTAAAAGCAGGCAGGAGATTGTATCAGAGCATGTTGAATATTCTTCGACTGTCATTACCTTTTTATACATGTCTTTCCTCTCTTTCTTCTGTGACCATTCCAAAAACTGTCCGTGAAGCTTTAGCCCATCCTAGTTGGCGTCAGGCCATGTTAGATGAACTAAGTGCTCTTCATAATAGTGGAACTTGGGAATTGGTCTCGTTACCGTCTGGGAAATCTGTTGTTGGTTGCAGGTGGGTGTTTGCTATCAAAGTTGGACCTGATGGTACTATTGATCGCCTCAAAGCACGTCTTGTGGCCAAAGGTTATACTCAAATTTTTGGTTTGGATTATGGAGATACCTTTTCCCCTGTGGCAAAGATGACTTCTGTTCGTTTATTTATCGCCATGGCCGCTCTTCAACAATGGCCTCTTTATCAACTAGATGTTAAAAATGCTTTCCTCAATGGTGATTTGCAAGAAGAAATCTATATGGAGCAACCTCCTGGGTTTGTTGCTCAGGGGGAGTCTTCTGGGATGGTATGTCGTCTTTGCAAATCCCTATATGGCCTAAAACAGTCTCCTAGGGCCTGGTTTGGAAAGTTTAGCAAGGTTGTTCAACAATTTGGTATGACTCGGTGTGAAGCGAGATCACTCTATCTTTTATCGACACTCAAGTGCTTGGATGTGTTTACTTGATAGTATATGTTGATGACATCGTTCTTACAGGTAGTGACAACCATGGCATCTCTCGGTTGAAACAACATCTCTGTCACCATTTTCGGACCAAAGATCTTGGCAAACTTAGATATTTCTTGGGTATTGAGGTGGCACAGTCCAATGATGGTATTGTTATATCTCGGAGGAAGTATGCCATGGATATTTTAGAGGAAACTGGGTTGATGAATTCAAAGTCCGTTGATACGCCCATGGATCCCAATACTAAACTTTTACCAAATCGGGGGAGCTTTTACCCGATCCCGAACAGTATAGAAGATTGGTTGGAAAATTGAATTATCTTACGAGTTACTCGTCCCGACATTTCCTTTGCGATCGGTGTGGTAAGCCAATTTCTTAATTCCCCATGTGAAGATCATTGGAATGCGGTCATTCGTATCTTAAAGTATATTAAAAGATCTCCTGGAAAAGGATTGTTATATGATTCTAATAACCATACAAGAGTTGTTTGCTACTCGGATGTCGATTGGGCGGGATCTCCTTCCGATAGAAGATCTACATCCGGATATTGTGTCTCCATTGGCGGTAACTTGGTCTCATGGAAAAGTAAGAAACAAAGTGTTGTGGCAAGATCTAGTGCGAAGCGAATATAGAGCTATGGCCTCAGCTGCTTGTGAACTTGTTTGGCTCAAGCAATTGCTTAGAGAGTTACAATTTGGAGATGTCACTCAAATGTCACTTGTGTGTGACAATCGATCCGCTTCTTCATATTAGTTCTAATCCTGTCTTTCATGAGAGGACCAAACACATTGAGATTGACTTGTCATTTCATTCGAGAAAAGATTATGTCTGGAGACATCAAGACTGAGTTTGTTAACTCAAGTGATCAGTTAGCAGATATTTTTACTAAATCTTTACGGGGTCCTAGAATTGATTATATTTGTAACAAGCTTGGCACATACGATTTGTATGCTCCGACTTGAGGGGAGTGTTAGATATTGTTTAGATATTATTTAATATTGTTAAGATATTGTTAGATATTAACCATAATATCAAACAATATCTTCTGTTTATTCTGTTACTTTCAGTTACTCTTTTAGTTGTATCTCTCTACTATAAATAGACTACCCTATGTGTGATTTATACACAAGGGAGATTAATCCCAAACTCTATTTCTTCTATATTCAACAGATAACTAAGACCAATTTTATATTTTCCCTTGTTTACAAGCCTGTTTTTATGAAAAACAAAGTCTTCAGAAATTTCAAAGTCAAACTTTATTAATTTACTGTTTCCTAACCAATTAGGATGAATGGTTAGTGGAAAGTCATTTCCAATGAAAAAAAAAATTAATGTAATTAATGTCACCCTATGAAATAATGTGAAGGTGTGTTTTTCAAAAGAAATAGCAACAAATAATTATTACAAAGTTGAATAATTGAGGTTTTACTTTATCATGTATTCCACTACTTTTCTAACTATGTTCGCATGAAATATGTATATTATTATTATTATTATTATTATTAAAATTATGCTAAAACCACAACAAGTGCAGAGTGTTTTGTTTAGCAACATCAAAATAAGATGAGGGGTGGAAAAATATGATAGAATCATTAGGAGTGTATGAAAGAATAAAAAAAAAAAAGAGTTAGAATGAAAATATGATGTATAAAGATCTGAATTAAAATGAAATGTATAAAAATCTTGTGAACGAAAATCTTAGAAGTGTATAGTATTGAGAATTTAGAGGATGTTGATAGGTGATTCATCATTAACCCTAAAGTCATACTGTCATGTCACTCCTGCAATTCTCTGTATCCAATCCAACTTATGCAATCGAGAAGGAATCTAACTTATGTGTATATATAGTAGCCAATCTATATCATAACATACATCATAGTTTTAATTAATCACACTGACATTGTTGCTGAAATGAGCATGTCATGTCACAACTACGATTGACCTCAATCAATTACAGTATCAACTCAAGCACTGTTTGTTGTCCAGAAATAACCTCCACGACATACATGTCTTTGGTTACGTGTGAGGCAGCCACCATAACATTTCATGGTTTTCGTTGCGTGTGGGACAACATGCATAGTATTGTAGTATCATCATGACAGTCACATCGCATTTTCTTTGGGTTGAAACATTGCATGCATGCATGTTTCTAAGCTCTTCTCTGATTATCATCACAGATTTTTTGCTTGTGTGCACTTTTCATTCATATATATTGATTGTGCGTGACAGTGGCAAGCTATGCCACCAGCCAAATCAGAGCAGAAATATGGCTACTTCTGTTCTCTCTGTGAAGTCACTCATTTGTTACACACATCGCCAGAGAAAAAACGGTTCTCAATATTTGTTTTTCATTAAAAAAAAACATAGAAAAATGAATATAATTTATAAAGCTTCTAGTATACATTCAAACTTGAAAAACAAAAAACATGTTTTCGTCAAATTAAAAGAAAGAATTTTGAATTTAAAACATTGTAAAGATAAATTGTAATCTAACGAACGTTCTAATAGTCAGACTCAAGATCAACCACCTCAATAGTATTGAGATTGTAGTAGTGATTGATTTGCAACTTGTCTTATAGATTAGGTGCAAGAAAAATGGTTTGACATACAAGTGGTGGAAAGGTTATTGGCGTGTGGCACCACTCAAACAGAGGCAGTTTTTGCAATGGTTAAAAATCATGTCAAATAATATTTAAGGGTAACCTATCCTTCACAACTGCACTAATTAATGAACTTGCCAAAACCATTAATAGGAGTAAACTCCAATTAGTTACACTTACTTGGATTTTGTGATAAAGAAGTGAGAGTTGTGGATCTTACACAAAAAAACCTAATCATGATCTAAAGTAGACAAAAAAGAAGACTCACCCAAGAAAGTGGTAGAGTGGATGAAAGTGACATTGCATACGCTGGGCAACCACACAGTCAGAAGAGTAAAGAAAGGTGGGATTTTAGTTGGAGATTTGTGGAGGAGCAAGTATAATTACCAAATTATTTGCCCTTCCCAAGCTCTATATTTATTCCACATAATAATGATATAATTTAATAATATCAGTTAGCTAGCAAATGTGCATAAATCCATTGATGAGTTATAAATGTATTTCAATTCGTGTTATCTAGTTATTATATTAGTCAGTAACTAAGTTTTCAAATATTTTCTTTTTAAATATATATGATAATATTAATCTCACCAAGAGAATGAAGAAAGTGAAATAGGATATATATATATACACACACACACACCAAAATTAACAAGCATAATAATGTGATAAAATTTTGAAATAATTTAAATTAGTTTAATTTGAAATTTCTTGTGTATATATATTTTATCCTTTTTCTTATTATGGGGGTTTCTTACAAGATACGAAAATATATATTACTAGAAGACTTTACTTCTAGAATGTCTAGTTCCACGTAGCATTATAATTCATAGAATATCTAACAACAGCCATAACAGGTGAGAGTAGCAGCATTTCATTGAATTGCAATAACAATTTCAACTAACCAAAAAACTCTTGTCAATCACTTCAATATGTATCTTAACCAAACATTGTAATGATGAATGGAATAAACTAGAAAAAAAAAAAAAGAGAGTAAGCCATTATTTGATTTCATTACAATATAGAACTCTAAATGCAATTCAATTCCTTTCTAATTTAAAAAATATGTACATTTGAACGCATAGAGTAGACCAAGGGGGTTTTGAGATGTCTATTTTGTTAATATATTGTTGTTAATTACTCTTTTAATATTTAAAAAAGTAGAAACATGTTTGTTTTTTTTAATTTAAACATAAAATAATTATGGTGTTTATGATGTACTTATATGTAATTAAAAAAAAAAACTAGACGGATGGAAAGAAAAGGTTGTGAATGTGATTGTATTGCCTCTGCCGCTGTTACGGAAACACGGTTGCATGTTACCCTGTCGTGTGGGGATGTCGTATTAGTGACCTGCTGACGGCATTGCATTTTTGGATTTTAGAGACCAATTTTAGGTTTTTTCAAGGGTTTCATTTCAAAAATATCTTAATACGTTTTATAATGTTAATTCATTTATATTCATTTTATGCATTTTTTTAAAATGAATATAAAAGAGTCAATAATTTTACCATATATGACATTTAATAATTGGATGATTTTGTAACGTTTTTACCTACTGATATATTTAAATTCAACTATTTATTTAAAATCTGATATGTATCTATCTCTTTAATAGTTTATTAACAATTTTCAAACTATTCTTATAATTAACTCGAATTCAACTGACTCATAAACATTTAGCAACAACTATTTTTTTTATCATTCAAATCTTAATGCAAGACACTTAATATGATATAAATAATATTTAGAGTAATCCCTAGCTAATTATAGTTAGTTAGACTGATAGATTGTATATTAAAAATTAAATTCTTAATTTAAATAATAGAATTTTAATTATTTAATGATTTTATTATTAAAAAATATATTAAGTAAAAGATAAGATCTCATTTCACGCTTTTCCTTAATCCTTAACTAGAAATTTATGTACTACAGAAAAGCTAAGAATAATTTCTTATAATGCTAATTATTTTTTAAAATAAACTATACATACTTGCAGAGATTAGAAAGGTATTCAATTCAAAATTTATCACATAAGTTAACATGAGTAGAGAGAAAATCTTCGAATTAAATATGAAGAGTGTAAATAAAATATATTGATATAAGGAATCTCTACCTTCCAAGTTCCAACCATACCAATCGATATTTTAAGATAAAAGAAAGAATAATTAAAAAATTATTACTATGCAAATAAACAAGGCACACAATAAAATTCAGATATTTAATACAGTTAGAATTATAATTTAATCTCATCTTAAATCAGAAAATATAAAAAATAGGTTGATGATTGATGAATGATGATGCAAGTGTGTATTAAGGGTAGGATGGATCTAACACGTGACAACGACACTTTAAATTAAATAACACCAAATATAAATAACCTAAATGTAATTTATTTACACTTTATAGATTTGCTTTAGATAACAGTGATGAGACACTAAAGTTGTGTATTGAATAAAATGCATAATTTGCCTGCATAGTAAGATTGGTGTGTCTATGATTGAGTACCAAATGGAGTACAAGCTGATGCGTTGGCATCTTTCTGGTTTTGTTTGTTTGCTTGTTGGTGCGGCAATAGCTATGTTATTCTGCATAATTTTATCAAATTTTCTGCATAATTTATTTCCTCTATCTTTGGACTCGGAAGTTAATTTCACGTTTAAAAGTGGTTAACCACTTTCAAGTTTCAACTAAAGCCGGCTTTTAGCTCACAACACTCTCTGCACGTCCCTTCATCACCCTCACCAAAGTCACCTTTTTGGTTTCCAAAGTCTCACTCTTTGCTTCACTTCAAACAAAACCCAGAAGGCATATCCCCTTTTAGCCATCCCTCTGATCCCGTTTTGTCCACTTTGGACCACTCAATAAAGTTGCAAACTCAACGTCTTGCTACCTTTATTAATAATTCAAACCCCTCTTTATGGTATTCTTTTTTATTTCAGTCTTAGATGCTTCTTTTATTGCATTCCTTGTTAGGTTTGAATCAATCAAATTGACTGGTCTGCTAACTTTTGGCACCTTTTAAACCCTCTGCTGTACCCTCTTGTTTCTCTTATCAAACCCCATTTACTATTTCTTTTGTCGTTTGAGGCTTCCCAGCTCCATAGTTTCCTCTAAATTTTGAAGGAAATGGCAGTTGATCTTTGCTCAGAAAACTGTGGAGTTTCTTCCTCTTCTGTGAGTCCAAGAATCTCATTCTCACATGACTTTTGCCAATCTGATGTCATTCCTGTTGAGCAACTCCCTTTTAGATCAAACTCTTCTGGTTTGAATTCCAGCATTGATTTTGATTTTTGTGTGAGTGAGAGCTTTGAGCTTGAGTCATCATCAGCTGATGAGCTTTTCTCTCATGGGAGGATCCTTCCCACCGAGGTCAAGAGAAAGAATATTCCTATGAAGCAAACTGGTCAATTAGCACCAAAGTGTAATACTCCATTGCCTCCTCCTTATTCTGGTTCACCTAACAGTGTCTCTACCAGTAAAAACTTGAAGAAAGAAAACTCCAAAGAAAGCAGGTGTTTGAATGATGAAGTGTATGAGAAGCAAAGTTCCAAGTCCTTTTGGATCTTCAAGAGAAGTAGCAGTTGTGGAATTGGACATAGAAGGAGCTTTTGTCCTTTGCCACTTTTATCTAGAAGCAATTCAACTGGGTCTTCAACCCCAAGTGTCAAAAGGAATCCACTTTCAAAGGAGGGTGTTAACGTTAAGCCAAATCCACAGAAACATTCTTCCACACGGTTGACTCACTCCTACGTGCCAAATGGTTATTATCAAAAGCCTCCATTGAATCACAAGAGTCCTGGATACTATGGTAGCAGTGTTAGAGTCAACCCTGTCCTGAATGTTCCACCTGCAAACCTATTTGGTTTGGCTTCAATCTTCTCCAACAATAAAGACAAGAGCAAGAGGCAGTCTTAGTTTAAATTAATGAAAGGAAATGATACAGGGTCAATGTTATTTTTCCAGTACTACTTAGGTTTACCAATTACCATGTGAACTAGTAAAATAAGGTATAGCTAAAATTTTGAAAGGTTAATGGTTTGCATCACAATGACAAAGTGGTACAAAAAAGATGTGTGAAGGTGATGGCAAGAATGATATAATGCAAGCACATGTTTTGGGGCACAAGATGACAGGTAATTGTTGTTTTGGTGGCTGTACATTGCCTCTTGTTGTTCCTCTACTTCTGTTCTCTGAATTATGTGTAAATACATTGACTTTGATTTCCGTATCTCTTCTTCCTGGGTTACTCTGCATTATTGACATACATTGCCTGCTTGTTTTACATTAGATTTTATAAAATTAATTATGAGATATATGAACTTAGGTAATTATTGACATATTTGAAACATTGATTTTAAGTTTATAAGTTGAGTAAGTAACTTATGCTTGGATAAAATGCTATATAAATTTTAATATTAACTTTCCTCACTGTATAATTAATTTTAACCAAATCAATATTTTTTAAATGTTCACTCAAATAAACACAGCTTTGTGTAAGAAGAGGTTGTTTCTCTTTTGCATTCAGTTGTTCTTGTTGCATGGATTCATTTTAAATAATAAAGCTTTCTGACTCGTTTTTATACTTCCTTCTACACATAGAAGTAAAAGTACATGGCATATCAACAGCAGTTAAACACAATAGATATTATTGCAGATTTCAATAATTTGATGCTCTGCAAAGTTGTTACAGTCTGCATCTGCATAAGTAGGTGAAGAATTATGATTCTGTTAAACTAGCACCTTCCATAATACTAAATGTAGAGTAGTTGACAATTTTAATGAATTTTTTTAAATTGTGCAAGTTGAGACACTAACTGTAATTTTTGAAATTTATGTTTATTGGTTATTTGTTGAATTTTTATTATATTTTACTGATTTAATAATAGATAACATACCATTGATGCATTGTATTTCATATATGGGGACATAATTTACTTGCACTATAATATCTAATTTTTAAAATATATAAAATTAACAAAACTGGGGTGAAATTTAGTAAGAGATGGAGGTTTCATTTAAGGTGTAGCATTATTCTCAATAGAACTTAAATAAGGGATTACTTCATTTAGAAAAAGTCCTCACTTGAACTTGAAGAAACCAACTAAGAAATATTCTTCAAAACAAATCTCAAACTTTTGACGTTAAGGATTTGTTTTGGACTCCTCTTTCCTCAAAACCATGAGAAACTAAAAAATAAACTAATCAAAGAATAGTTGAAAAGGGAATTGTTGGTGTTAACAGCAATAAAATCTTATAAAAACCAGCATGGATGATGAGTGAACTGCTAATAAACAAGGAAGGAACAGCGTTGTGAGAGTAATTGGGTGAAGAATGATGTATTTATTTGGGTGTGAGTGGCACTCAACTTGTTACAGTGCTGTCTCTATCTCATTCATTTTGTTGAGGCAGAAGTAGGAAAAGCCAAGACAACCCTTCATACACACATGTTAAAAAAAGTTGATGGATGAATGCACTGAAAATGGAATAAACCAGCCATGAAAATGGACAAATAGAAAACATGTGAATGCCCATCATTTTTATCCTTTCTTTGCAAGGACATTTTGCATCACCTACCTTACTACTCAAACTTTTCTTCAAAACTTTCTTCAATATATTCTACCATGTGCTTTCAATCAACTAAGTCACTTCATATCATCATACTTCATCTCTAAAGGATTTTCAATTCCATCAATGTATAAAATAATGCCAAGAAAAATCATTAATAGTAAAATAATTATGGTTGATGTTTTTGAAAAACTTAGAAGTGATATAAGATTTTAAAAAGTAAAAATAAAAAAAATTGAGGAAATGCACAAACTTTCTTACCAACAACGGAACGGAAAGTATTAATGAATGATGTAGGACGTTTAAATGAAAGAATGTAATGACAAATCATGGACGGTGAAAATCATATCTTACGTTGAATTGTGTTTTTTTTTTTAAATTAGATGCTAGATATAGTTATTTTAATTAATTTTAAACTTAAAAAATTAAAACATTTTTAACTTATTTAATTTATATTTTTTTCTTGAATTTTTAACCTTCTATCTTTTTACATAGTAATTTATTCTTAATTTTTTTATAAAATATTTTTAAGAATATACTGAAGAAGAAAAAGACATGGTTGGAGAAAACAGGAGCAATGTGTATGTATCTATCTTCTTCAATCCAATTCATACACACAAACAGGTGAAAAAGTGTTGTCACCCATCTCCAAGACCAATGCCATGTGATCTCTTGTTCATATGTCAAGTACTACAGACACAGTACATACATACATCACTTCTCTCTTAATATTAACTGATATTTTGAGAAAACAAAACAACAAAAAAAACATTTATTCAACAGTCTATTTTTTTATTATTACGTTAAGATTTCAATATAAAATCAATAAAAAAATATTCTTCAACAAAATCTATGAATCAAAACATGTTTTATATCATATTAAAATTTTAACCTAAAACTCATTAATAATATATGAAATCAATTATATATATTTAAATCATACAAAATAAGATAAACACGAAATAAAATTTTTAACAAATAATAATTATATTTATGAAAAAAAAATCTTTAAACCATTTATTTCATTCTATAATTTTTACAAATTTAGTCTTTATAAATTTTTACTCTTATGTGATCTTTCTGTTATCTGTAAATAGAATATAATTAAGTTTAGAACATAAAAAAAGTAGACTATATTTGAACCTAGTGGCAAATTTCTTTATATGTTTTTTCTTTCTCCTTAAGTCAATTCTATGTTTTTTTTATGTATTTATGTGTTGTTGTTAGTTTTTTTTTATTGGTTAAAATTTATTACAAATTACATCTTTACAAATCTACATCACATCTAAATATTTTATTTAATTTATTTTTAATTCTTCTTAACAAAATATGTTCAAAAAATGTGTTAATAATAGTTATCTCTCTATGATTTTTTAGTAATCATATTATGTTATTATATTAGGTCTTAATAATTTTACAGTATTGTACAATCTTGTACAGTTATTAAGAACTAATATATTAACATTATTTAAACAAAATCTGGTCCTGTGATAAATTGAAACAAAATCTGATGTCAATTTCTAGTGGATTTGTTCCTGAGTTGTGTGCAGACAAAATCTAATGTTGTAAAAGATAAATCCTTGAATTCCTTTAGAATATTGGAACAGTGTTAAGATGAATGATGATTGGTCAAATCTTAAATTTTCACTCTACCACACGCTACATGCCACACTTTTTTATTCTAGAACACTACCACTACATTCATATTCACATTATTTTACCTTGATTACTGTTTTTCCCTTCTTAGGGACATGGTCCATAAAAACTCAAGGGTAGACTTTTACACTTTTCTTCTCCCTTTTCTTTATTTTTTTCATTCAAAACAAGCTTTATAGATAATAGTTACTACAGAAAAAAATTGTAGTTAGAAATGATCAATAATATCTTCTATTTATTTCAATTATTATCCATTTACAATTTTATATAAAAACTATTATAATATGAAGAATGGTTAATTTATATACAGTTATAAAAAAAAGTTAACTCATAATTTTTATAACCAGTAATAGAAATAAAATAAAATTCATTAATCAATGTTTAGAAATTTTTTAACCCTAAAAGTGGAGCATAGCCCAATGTCCATTCTAACATTTTTGTGCCAACCTAATCTGTAATAATAGCCAATAATAACCGAAAAGAAAGAAAAAAGTGGAGAATGATTAATGAATTTTTTTTCTAGCTTTATGTCATTGCAAAGTGTTACAGTTGACACCACCCATTCATGTGTTTTAGCACATTGCTACAAAAGATAAATGCTCTTTTTTACTGATAAAAAAATTATACATGTTCTTTTCTATAATATATATAATTTATATGTTTTATAGGTAAAATCTACCCGTCACTAATATTTATCTAAGAATGAAGTTGGTCACTTTTCATAATATTTTTTCAAATCACTTCTTATTTTGATTTAAATTTTTATTAAAATTTGATGAATACGGTAAAAGGAGTGTGCAAAGCAGATGTGATGTCAGAGCGAGTGCGTTGACGGCGCGTGATATAGAGGTGTGAAAAGTTACGAATTGAAGCTCGAACAGCGCAGAATAGCAGAAAGACGTGGACCCAACGTTACCCAACAAACCGAACCTGTTTCCGGTTGTTGTCCCGATGATGCAAATATTAATATTTTTGGGTGTGTTGACCGATGCTTGCATGCGCGTGCGGTGTCCCATTTGTCTCATTCGCCTTATCCTACGCACCCATTTGTCTCCATGCGCGCCTCATCACCATAACAAGAACTTTTAACTTACCTTTGATTTGCAGTAGCATTAGCAGGGCATTGTTGTTGCTTGTGATTTGTTAACTGTGTTCTTGTTCCCAGAAGGGTATTTGATTTTTTTTTTTTTTTTCTTATGTGAATTCAATATGTCGTTTTTTGCATCAAGAGTTGCTTTCTGCTTCAGTCTTTTAGTGGCTGTGTGCAGAGTTGTTCCCATGTCTTTTGTGGATAACATTATTGTACATTGTTTCCATAAGTGAGAGTCAGGTTTTACAACTGGGTACCTTAAGGGAAGAGAAAGCTGCTATATTTTTCTCCTCTCTTTTTTTGTTTTGTTTTCTTCACGAGGGAATGTGAAGAAGTTTTTTTCTCAGATGTGAAAGAGATAGTATGAGTGTGCTGAGAATTGAATGCGCTTTTGGTTTAACAATGTAGAGTAGAGAAGAACCCTTTGCCTTTTGTTTTCTTTGGACTGTCGGTGGTTTTGGGGAGACTTGCAGAAATGAATGATTCCACGGTGAAGAACTTGGCCATCACGGAGAAGAAGTTGCCGCAGAAGCCTGGAGGTTGTGTTGGCATTTTCTTTCAGCTTATCGATTGGAAGAGGAAACTATCCAAAAAGAAGCTCTTCTCCAAGAAGCTTCTTCCTCCCGGTTAGTTTCTTAGTAAATCTATGTTCATAAGACAATGCAATATGATATAAATTTTGCCTGAAATGTCACATAGATAGGTATGAGGGATTGTTTCTGGTTTGTGGAGACTGATATATATTTTCGTTGTTGAGTGCTTGTCAGCTCGTGCCAAAAAATTCAAAGGGGATGAAAAGATGCCAAATTCCAAGATTCACTTGGTAAGGCTTTCTTTATTCTCGAGGGATTGTATTCATTCTTTTTATTTGATTTTGTATAATCGTTTAGCACTTACTATTTTTTTGTTGGGTATTGTGTCTATGTTTCAAATGTAGATTGCTAATGAGAATAGTGGAGGTTTCCCCAGTGCCAAAAAAGGTGGGAATCATGGTGCAGATGTAGAGCAAAGGAGTGAAATGCGAGTTCCAAGTCTGGTTGCCAGGTTGATGGGTCTAGAATCTATTCCAACTGCTCAGCGAGATAAGTCCAAGAAAGCCTTGTGTGCTGATGGGAAGAAGGAGTCTTTGGGTGACCATTGTGAGTTGGATAGGCAAGGCATGGATTTGGAGATGGGAGTTGTGAAGCATGATTCAAGACCTCAAAAGCTTCAGAAAACTGGGTCCTACGAGAGAAGGGCAGTGACTAGGTTTGGATCTGAGGCTTTCCAGATTAAGAGTGTATTATCCCGAGGAAGAAAGTATCATCACCATCATCATCCCAAGCTTGCTTCTTCTTTGAAAAGCCCGAGAATTCCTTCTGGAAAGAGTGCTTCTCGAAGCTCTAGGTTAATAGGTGCAGCAACTAAACTTTTGGAACCTGGGCTGCAGAGCAGAAGTAGGGCTAAAGGTTCTCTTACATATCCTGCTTCCATGTATACTCCTAAGACTGGCATTGTGACAAGTGATGTGCAAAATCAATCTTGTTATGAAGCCGGTTCATGCAAACAATTGATGGGGCAGACCTCTTGCAAAAACTGTGGTAATTTGCTAGATGTTGTTGACTGCAAGCTTGAGGTTGGGGGACAACCATTGGATCCTCAGCCCATGGTTTCAGATGTGATCACAGCTACCTCTATGGTATCATCAGAGAAGAAGGGAAAGTCATTCACTTCCCATGGACATGACAGAGATGTAGTTCTTCTGAGAAGTCAGGAAAAGCTTATATCTCTTGATACTGAAGAGAAGGGAAAACATAATGTACATAATTCATGGAGTGAACCTACTGTCAGAAGAATTTCAATGCCCCATGATGGTCTACCTAAATGGAATTCATCTTGTCAACCATCAAGGACCCTAGAGGATGATGCATCTTCTTTTCCCTTAAAACACAAAACTCAAACACAAGAGCAGATGATAAGCAGTGAAAGATATTCATCTGGATCTACACTGAGTGATATGCAAGTAAAAAGGGTATCATCATCTACCACTACTACGAATGGGGGTAAAGATTTTGTTTCTATGAATAGAAGTCTTAGTGGTCGAACAAGGACAAGATCACCAACCAAAGAGGATAGTTCCAAATTTGACTTAGAAAGAAAACCTTATAATCGACAGCATAGTTCCTTGTCTCACGTAAGGACATTAGAGAGAAAAAGAAGGATACCAAATGTCACACAACTAGAAGGCACGGGTTCTGTTTATTCAGTTGGTGCAAAACATAGAAATCTCCATTCTAGTGGATTGGGTGGCAAAAGGAGGGATTTTAATGCTTCCTCCTTGAACAATTCTGTTGTAAAAAATAAGCAAGTTGCTCAAGGAGAAAGAATTATTAAGGTTAATGACAACAAGATCAATGATGTAGTGTCATTTACATTTAATTCTCCTCTGAAGCAAAAGGTAGGAATAACTGTTGAGAGGGAAGAGACAAGCAGTGACAAAGAGAGTATCCAAAGGCCTTCACCATTGAGAGTTGATGCTTTAGGTGCCTTTCTAGAACAAAAATTGAAAGAATTAACATCTCAAAGAGACGAAGAGTTGGCCACAGGTGCTCTACCAAAGAAATCAAGTGCCATGATTCTTCAAGAGCTGATATCTGCTTTAAGTTCAGAGCATTTGATCTGTCATGATGGTCATCATCACGTGTTTAATGAAAACGTTGGTTTGCATGTAAGTCTTCTCTTTTTATATTGTCTCACTGCTTCAAAATTTAGATTCTATGATCATTTTGCTTTTGTTATCAATTATCTGTTGATAGCATCCAGTTGCTGAATTTCATTATGAATTTGTAGTCGATGTTATCCACATGATTTGAGTCTTAACAAGAAATATAATTGGATGTACTGCAGCTTCAAATGCATCCCTGTCTTATTTCTGCTTTTGTGGCTATTTATGTGTCAGTGGAAATGACAGACTGCTGCAATGTGGTGGTGGTGTGGGGGGGGGGGGGATAACATTTTTTTGTAATTGCATCAAATTATCTTCTGGTATCTTACTGTCTTGTTTATTATCCCGTTGTTTTATTTAAAGGATTTTTAGTCCAATGGATCTTGTTTTTGGCATTAAGCAATTCTAATTCTAGATACAAAGTACATGTTCTGCTGATCAGTGTCACAGTAGGTTATCTCAAGACATTCTGGAAGTTCTATGTCCCTAATCTGGTCATTTTTTACACCCCATGCTTATTAAATCTTGATGAATGTGTTATGCTTACCAATCTAACTTTCTAATATTGGAGTATAGTAAACTACAAATATTGAAATTCTGACTTGATCTTTCCTTTATATTCTTCTCAGTATGGGGAAAAACAAGAAAGGTTATTAGGAAGAACCTCTTGCAATGGTAATCATCTCAGTCCTGGATCTGTTTTGGAAGCTTCCTTTTCTTCCAGTAGTCTGGATGAAAGCTCAGGTGAAGTGGAATTTAAAAATATGTGATTAATGTAAAAAATAATTTCTGACTACAAACTTATTTAATCCCCATTCTTTGGGCCAAGTTTCTCTTGTTGATATCTGGTCTTTGATTTAATTCCAGGGCACGGTTTTCACCCTGACTCCATGAATCACTCTTATTATGGTCAGCTAGAACATGATACTGAACTTTCAGATTCTGCAACATCCTTTACCAAAGGGAGGATAGGTGAGATACTGAGTGATCTTGTCAACCAACTTCCCAGGGCATTGGAAAGTTTGCACACTTTTGGGACAGTATTAACAATAAGCAAGCTAAACCATATGAAGGATATTTTCTTGCATGCTGAGTTGGTGCTTGGAATTACAACTGATCGCAGAGAGGATGAAGGGCCCCCACAACTTATAATTTATCAGTTTCTCGTTGATGATCTTGAGAGTATGACGAGTGATCCCATGTGGGCAGATGTGGGTTGTGAGGATTCTAAACAGAGAAAGGAGCTTAAGGGTTTTCTCCTTGATTGTATTGTAGAATATCTAGAATCAAACTGCAGCCAATATTTCAACTCTGGATTCAGGGCATGGACAAAGCTACCTTTATGCATGAGAGCTGAGATGCTGGCTCAAGAGGTCAAGAGGGAGATCAACAAGTGCTTATCTATGGCTGGGATGGTACCTGATGAAATAATAGAATGGGAAATGAGCCACTCCTTGGGGAAATGGACAAACTTTGATATTGAAGCATTTGAGGCTGGTGTTGATGTAGATGGTGATATACTTCAAACTTTGGTTGATGAAGTTGTTGAAGACCTTGTGAGTTGCAAACACGGTTCCATTTCCTTCTAAAATTCCGTTTAGCTGATCATGCAACATCTCACTTGTCATTTCTCTGGCGAGATGTAATCTAACAAGGTGTATTTTTTGTACAAATACGATTATGGTGTTTCTAGTGGAGGCTTTTTTGGGGCTCTTTGAATTAGTGGACAAAAAATAATGTCCAGTGACCAAGTTTTTTATTTTTTCAATTATGTATGTCTGTGATTTGCGTAGTGAATTCCATCAAGAAATCTCGGGGGGAAAAATGGAATCTTACTTAAAGTCTGTTTAATTTTACCCTCTGATAATCACTTGAATAAATATTCTAAATTGTTTTTAACTTCAATCAATTTCAAGATACATACTTGATCAAATTTACACTTTAGAAACAGCTAGTACCAAATAAGTGTCCAGTAAGAGTTGATTATGCAGCTTATGAATGGTCTTCAATCAATTTTCAATATACATGATGAAATTTATCATTTATATACGCCACCAGCAAGTGCCAAATAAGTATTCAATAAGAGTTGATCGAGCAATTTATGAGTGCTCCTTATTTGGTAGTACTTGATAAACAGTATTTTAGCCAATTTATTCAGTAAGCGATGGTTAAAAACAGTTTACCCGAGGAGATGCATGCTCCATATTTAGAAAGAAGATGTAAGAAATACTCTTTTATTTCAAAACACAACAAGCAAAGTCCTTCCAGATAAAACAGAGGAACATAAAACTATTATTCTCTCTATATAAACAGTGGCATGGTGATGGGTATTGGATACTCTCTTAAATCATACTGGCTTTACAGTTACATAATAATATAATATAAGTTCCTCCCAAAAAATTAAAAAAAAAAATGCGAAGCAATGAATGAGCAGTGAAGACATAACCACCAAACCTACAAAATAAACAATTAAACAAAATCAAAGGAAAATCATTGCACTCCAGTTTCCATACTCATCAAATGTGTTGTTTGTACCCTAAAACAGACTTTCTTGTCATCACCCTGCTACTCCTTCCTCCACCTCTACTCTCACCATTGATGGCATTAGCAGTAGCAGATGACAAACTCTTGAGTTCATCAATGCTGGCATAGCTCTTCCTCGGCATGAGAACCCCACCACCACCCCTTCTCTTCTCACCTGCATTCGCTGACTTACTCCCTCTTGCACTCGACAAAACACCACACATTCTCTTCGAAGGAGGCGTCAACTCCGTCAATGGAGGTAACATGTTACTATTCACCGGCTTTCGATTCTCCTTCCTCAAAGCAGCAGAAAAATCAGGAACAGACTGTGCCACAAGAGAGGACCCTTTTCTCCCAGAAACTACACCTTGAAACTTAACTTGTTTCTTCCTTGGTGGGGTTAAAACCTTTGCTTCTGCCTCCACTTCCACACCCTCTTCCTTTTCTTCATATTCTTGCTGTCTCATGTACTTCATGCGAAGCTTTCTTTCCCTCAGCTCAGCGTATGCTTGGTATCTTGGTCCTCGCTCCAACTCCATCATCAAGAAGCCTTGCATCTGCGCGGAGGTGAGACTGATGAGAGAGATGGTGTCCACTGTGGGGCTTGTGTGTTGTTGCAGAGAGACGTTGGAATGCTCTGCTGTTGCCATGTTGTGATGTTCCTTCGTTGAGAGGGTCATTTGCTTTTTGTTGTTCTTATCGGAACTTTTCAGTGCTTTGTTGAGTAAAATATTTGAGTTCGCAACGGTCTAATAAATCTTAGACCAACGTTCTTCTAAATAAGGTGGGTCCCGCAGAGTTGAAGAAACCAGGTTCTGTTATTTTACACGTTGGATTATATACATATTAATTGCTTCCATTATTATCCGCTACAAATAAACGTTTTTGTTGGAAGAGAAGATATTTATCATATTAAAAACATAATATCATTAAAATATTTACTTTTTAGATAATTAGAAATGTTTAGTTATTTAACAACGCATTGTTGAAGACTGAAGCAAATGAATGGTACTAAACGAATTTGCTGTTTGATGAATTATTTATAAAATCAACGTTTATGAATTTTGTTTGGACAAAATCAATAATAATATTAATAATAGCTGCTGGAAAAAGTATATTATAAGAAAAATTAATGTGTCTTCGATTACTTCGACAGTTTTATGAACGATGCTGCAGTGGTGTTGATTGAAATGTACTAAAAATAATAAAAATAAAATAAAAGTTACCCATAGATAACATCACACTAACAATCTTACAATGCAATAAATTTTCTTTATTTATTTTATTATTTTAAAAAAGCATTTGAATGTACAAAATACGACCAATTTAAAGAAACAAAAATATGATTTAGTATAACAAAATATAAATAATTACATCCATCTCTAAAAATAGTGTGTGAATAAATTAGTAATCAAACTATTAATTAATTAAATTAAATAGGTCTATATTAAATGTTTTAGTTTTTCTTTTGTTATTAGTAGTTATATTATTGTCCTGTATATAAATATATTTATTGCCATCTAATTAATATATTTGAAACATTACACAAATCATAAATATTGGATTGTTTTTTTTTGTTTTCTATTTTCTTGTTTTTATATGATAAATCAATGTATTGTTATATTAGAATTAGCATGGTATTATGAGCAAGGTTTAGCTCGAGAGAAGTGAATTTTTTTTTACATTTGTTGTCAACATTTGGGTAAGTCTCAGTGCATGAAGTGCGTGACTATTCTCTTCAATGGTGAACAATCTTAAAAATATTGAAAAAGAGTTAAATGTATCAAGATTGGTAAAGTTCTTGAATTTACAAATTCAAGATAGCTGCGAATGAGAATATCACTCAAAGTGCATTACTGGTATTTGATGGAAATGATTTTGATGATTGGAAGATAAAGATGTTCATTATCTTTTATTTTCAAGATATAACAAATATGGTGATGACTTGAAGATCCTGGAAACAAGGTTACAAAAGAAGTCAAGAAACACTTCAAGAATCTTCAAAAGCTAGACAGTAAGGTCAGATTTTTTATTTACCAATGTGTTAGACCAAAGATCTTTAACAAAATTTTCAAAGCTGCAACAGTAAAAACGTATTGGAAGTGGAGAAAGAACAAGAAAGTCAAGATGCAGACCTTGAGGAGGTAGTTTGAGTTTCTCAACATGGATAAGAATGAAATCATTATTGATTACTTTGATAAAATTCAAGAATATGTGAATACAATGAGGGTCTGCAGAGACACAATCATTGATCAACAGGTTGTTGATAAGATTCTAAGCTGAAAATATTGTCGTAGATATTTGATCATGTTGGAGTTGTAGTGAAAATTAAAGAACCAAAAGACTTGGAGGAGATGGAGGTAGAAGTTTTGCAGGATTCTCTTAAAGCTCATTAGTTTAGGATTAATGAGAGAAGGCATAATGAAGAGCAGACTCTTCAAGTTAGAACAATCCAAAGGGGAAAAGACAGCACCTTAAAAGGAAAGAAAATGTTAAAAAAAAGATGAGAAAATAGGTGATACTTTTAAGAATAAGAAATATAACAAAAAGCAGCAGAACACCTCTAATGATGATAAATAATGAAAGTTTGACAAGAAAAATGTGAAATGTTACAAGTGTCAGAAGTATGGTCACTTTGCACGTGAATGCTGGGATAGTGAATGTGTCAAGAACAAGCCAAAAAACCAAGTTAATTTAGCTCAAGATGATGCTTCTTCAGATTCTGATGTGGTGATGCTGATGGCCAAAACTAGTGATCTAAATTTAGAAAAAACCTCTTCTTGGAACCTTAACTTGGGATGCTCCACGCATATGACTGGGAGGAGAGATTAATTCATCAAGATTAATGATCCGTCTCAAGGAAAAATCAGATTTGCCACCAACAGTAGTCTCAATGTAGAAGGGGTTAGATGTATATTGTTGAAGGATCATAATGATAGGGAAAATCATAATTGATGATGTGTTGTATGTACCTGGTTTAAAGACAAACTTGATGAGTCTCGGACAACTTTTATAGAAAGGATTTGTATGAAAATGAAGAAAAATGGTTTGAGTATATATAACAAAAAACATTAATGGTTCATGCAAATATTTCTGAAAACAGAACCTTCTGTGTTGTTATGAATACATGAAGACATTAATGTTTTACCACTAGAGATAATAGGAATGAGTGGTTATGACATAATAGGTTCAGCCATCTGAATTTTCAGCATTTGCACAAGCTTAGTCATAAGAATTTGGTGATTGGACTCCCCTTAATTATGATTCCATAGGATGTTTGTAGAGAATGCATTCAATGCAAGCATGTCAGACCAAAGTTTAAGGAATTTGTGGTTGGCAAAACAAATAAGAAGCTTGATATGGTGTACTCTGATGTTTGTAGGGCAATGTAGGTTGAAACACCTGGTGGAAATAGGTATATTGTTACTTTTGTAGATGATCTCACAAAGAAAATGTGGGTTTATGTGTTGAGAATGAAAAAATGAAGTGTTGTCTGTATTTGAAAATTTTAAAAGAATGGTTGCAAGGTAGAGTGGAAGCAAGATAAATGTGTTGTGGTCAGATGGTGGAGGAAAATATGCCTCAGCCAAATTCAGTGTTTTTTGTGAGAAAGAAGGCATCGTCCATGAGTTTACTACACCTTACACTCCTCAACACAATGGTACTGCTGAGCATAGAAATCGAACTTTGTTGAATATGATCTATTGCATGTTGAAAAGTATGTCTTTGACAAGTTATTTTTGTTGAGAAATAGTTGTTACAACTGCACATGTGTTGAACATGTCTCCCACCAAGCATTTAGAGATGATGATACTTGAAGAGACTTGGAAAGATGTCGAGCTTGATGTAACACACTTTAGGATATTCGATTCAGTTTGTTATAAGCATGTGTCTGAGCAGTTGAGAAAGAAACTTGATAATAAAATCACACCACAAATTCTGGTCGGTTATCATGTGGCAGGTGGATACAAATTATTTGACCCATCTCAAAACATGTGTCAATTAGTAGAGATGTTTTTGTTGATGCGTCAACTAGCTAGACATGGACAACCACCAAAGAGAATTCAAATGCTTCTAAAGTGTTATTTGAAGATGAAAATCTAGTGGAACAGAACAAACCTATTGATCATGGTACGAGAAGATCATCCAGAGTTACACAACTCTCATCTCATCTTCATGATTATGAAGTGTTTAGTGACTCAGTTGTGTTAGTAAAGGGAAATCTAGTGCATTTTGCACTCATAATAGAGTTTGAGTCAATCATGTTCGAAGAAGCAGCCAGAGAGGTTCATTGGTGGAAAGCTATGCAGTAGGAGATTGATTCAATTGAAAGGAATCAGACCTAGAAACTTGTTGAGTTGCCACTAGACAAGGAGTGAATCGCACTCAAGTGGGTTTATAAGATTAAAGTAAATTCAAATGGTAACGTTATAAGATACAAAGCAAGGCTTGTAGCCAAAGACTTCTTGTAGATAGCTGAAATAAACTATGGTGAAGTCTATGCACTTGTTGCTAGTATCGAAATCATCATATTGGTGGTTGTTATTGCCACGAATGCTAACTAATTCTTACACCAGTTAGATGTTATATCAGCTTTTTTGAATGACCCTCTTGAAGAAGAGGTTTATGTGCATCAACCTAAGGGGTTTGAGCATAAAAGTGAAGAACACAAAGTATATAGACTAAAAAAGCCTTACATGGGCTTAAACAAGCACTGAGAGCATAAAACAAACAGATTGATAATTTTCTTAACAAAATTGGCTTTGTTAAAGTATATGTCTGAACATGGAGTCTATGTAAAAGTCTGGAAGAATAGTAGTAGAGTTAAAAAAATCATCATATGTTTGTATGTTGATGATCTTTTGATCATTGATAACAATGAAGAGTTCATAGTTTACTACAAGAATGAACTTCTAAAGGAGTTTGAAATGAGTGACTTGAGAAATCTAAGTTATTTTTTGGGTATTGAGTTCAAACAAACTCCATATGGGATGACTATACATCAGACAAAATATGTTCGTGATATACCGAAGAAATTTGGAATGCAGCAAAGTAATTTTGTCAACACACCTACAAGCATGTAAATTAAAGTATCGATTGATAATAAATCTGCAATAGATCTTGCCAAGCATCCAGTCTCTCATGATAAAAGCAAATACATTGAGACCAAATTTCACTTCATCCGTGAGCAAGTTTCAAATAGAAAACTAGAGGTTGAACATTGCAGGTATGAGATACAACTTGTTAACATTTTGACAAAAGCTTTGAAGTTTGAAAGATTCAAAAGTCTTACAAAGAAAATTGATGTATCTATTTTAGTTTGAGGAGGAGTGTTAGTCAAACCAAATTTGTATATGTTAAATGTTTCTGTTTTTTCTTTTGTTATTATTAGCTGTTACATCATTGCCTCCTATATAAATACATTCTTTGTACATCATTATCTTCTATATAAATACATTCTTTATCATCTAATAAATATATTTGAGATATTACACAAATCACATATAAATACATTTTGTGTACATCATTGTCTTCTATATAAATACATTCTTTGTCATCTAATAAATATATTTGAAACATTACATAAATCACAAAATATTGTTTTTTTCTTTTGAATTTTTTTTCTATTATCTATTTTCTTGTTTTTTAATCAATGTAATGTTACATTAAAATAAACACAAATGAGTGTTAATTACATTAAAATTAACATATTATGTGAATTGGTTGAAGTGGTATATATAATATAAAAATTTTATGTAAATTTAGTTTATTACATTTCTTACGATAACCCAAAGATGAGTTTGATCCTGTATTATGTTAAAAGTGACTAACATTTTATGATTTAAAATAATGCCACGTAACTTAAAGAGATGACATAACGAGTGCACTTTTTCAATGACAAATATTATGAGTATATTATCCAAACTATTTTAAATTAAGAACTTATTTAGAAGTTGATATAAATAAGGCCTAGTTCCAGAATCATCTGCACATGGACAATGATGTGATTAACTAGCAAAACTGTTGAGCTGTGTGAGTTGTGATGTTTAGGGTTCACCTGTTCATCACTTAATATTTAGCATGACATATGGGTGCCCAAAAGGGCCAAGGTTGCTACTATGCAAAATCTATCTCTCACCATCAAACAACTATCTTTCAGAGCAGAATATGACCACTGGTGTGCTTTACAAAATAAATGCACTAGTCATGTCTCATGACAAGTTTGAGGTAGAATGGCTATCTGCTAACATACACAACAATTTCATCTAAGCCAAAATTGGCCGTACATTTGAGTGAAATTAAACTTTATGGTACTTGTATTTTTGCCCTAAATTGAATTTATTGACATGCTGGTCAAAGCCTTTTAGCACAACGGTTCTTACAGCTACAACTCCTTGCTCCAACGAAGCATCAATCTGTAATTCAAAAAGGGAAATCGTAATCGAATTTCAAATTAGACAACAAAATGCACTTTATTTGTAATATAAACTTGTGTAATTATTGAAGGTTACGCTAACTGTCCAAATAAAGCATTACCGGCTCAATTCCTTTCATATATTTTCTAATTAAGTACTTATTGTCTAATTTGTTACAATCCATCCACAAACTATATAGTTCCCTCCACAGCCAAAAACAAAAATGTAAATTACCCTTGCACTCCTAATGAAATCTAGTGGACTATCATAAGTCATAACACAGTATTTCACATACTCAGTATAAAGTGCAGTGCAATTATAACAGAACTAATTGCTCTTCTATATTTAAGTCCCAGTCAAAATAAATTATAAGACATAACGCACAATTGTAAAGTATTATGCAAATAGTATGAACACAAAAGTTTATGATATTATAAAAGAACTAAACCGATTCACGCTTGGTAGAAGACTAGACGTAACCTGCATTCGTTCCACTGAACTGAATTTTTGTAGAAGAAATGCTCTCAAATCCATAGTTCCGGGAGGATTGCCAATTCCTACAAACGCAAATTTGACATACAGTACAGCTAAGACAACTGAAGAAACCATGCCAACTTATAAAGTGACTGGTGGCAAGGAACTAACCGACTGCAAGTCGAGGAAAAGCACTGCAACCATCCAAATGGCCCATCACATTTTTTAATCTGTAACATTGTAAAGCCAGCTTTAGAATTTACTATTTCTCATTACAGTAAAAATGTATGAGTTCCCAAATACATTTCTTTAAAACAAAAAAGGTTTGTATTAGGATGACGAACTTAGTTTCTTGTCTATAAAAAAATTCAAGTCGAACGAGATAATTTATAACAAATCTTCACCATTAAACTGTATTGAAGCAAAAGTCTTTAAAAAAAACTACAATGCTATACCTCCTCAATAAGAAGTTTCAATGGCCTTTCTATCCACTTATGTGGCACAATTAGTGCAACCTAAAACTGTAATCTTAATTTTTATTCTTTAATTTATATCTTATGCCAACAAGTCTATAAAAAGTCTGTTTATTGTCTCTCTATGCATAAAGTGTATTTGCTAAACATATGATTCCAATTTCTGAAATCATGTCTTGTTCTGATATATAAAGAATCTTAAAATGAATAGAACAAGCATTACCCATTGTGATGCCCATGTCCGCCTTTTGGTTGAAGCCTTAAAACACCATTTGGCAGGCTTGTTTCATCATAAACCTATGTAAAATTTCCAGAAACTTATGGCTAAATGAAAATTTCCAACAAACATGTAAATTGTCATCAACTGTTTTTAAACAGAAGGTAAGAAATACATACTAGTAGAATATGACGCAAGGGTACTTGATAATATGCAGCAAGTGGCCCAACCTTTAAGAATATTAGAAATAAGAAAATTACGAACAAAGAAGTAACACAAAAACTGACAGATCAAAGACAATTATTTTTTAAAGAAATAATTAATTTGACATCATCATGCCCAATTAAGAACTGGATCAGATAGTTGATCCACAATCAGTTTCAACCCGTATCTCTCGACTCTTAAGCTACAATGTATGATGAAAACTAAGTATGTGTCGTTCTTGCAGAAAATCTATTCAATGTTTACGGTGAACACTGACCGATTCCCCACTAAAATTCATGTATGTTTGGGGCTTTGCTAACAAAATTGGTACTTCTCCAATAGAACCTGTACAGAGCACGCAAGAATATATAAGTTAGTGCTATAATTACCATGATATGTGTAACTAGATGGGAAAGAACAATAACAAAATCAATGCTTAGAGGATGATGCACCTATTCCAATCAAGGCCTTTGACTGTATTGTGTTCATCTTAATCCCTTCGGCTCGAGAAATGCTATCAATTATTTCAAATCCAACCTAATACAGGGCAAAACATAAGATCAACTACAAACAGAAATGCATTCAATTTCAAACAATTTCATAAAAAACTGAATGATTACATTGTGCCTAGTGCCATGGTATTTGTTTCCAGGATTACCCAAGCCAACAATGAGCCAAGGAGTATATTCCACTTTAGCTCCATTTCTTGTCTGTGATACCGAACAACGAACAGAGAAACTTGTTTTAATTGAAGGTGTTTTCAAATAACGAGGATAACGAATGTCCCTGGGATAGCTTAAACAATGCCCTGGGGCAGATGCTGCATGCAACATTGATCTGTCCAAAAATGAAAAGGAAATGTACAGTGAGTATGAAAAAACATATCATAATATAATTGACAATAACAACTAAGAAGGTATCAGCAATCCCAGTTTTCAGTTAAATCACTTACCAATGTTATCAAACTCCTGGATGTAAGAGGATCGGAAAGGGTATAAAAGATTTCATAAGAGTTATGTATATACAGAAAACTATATCTATAGACATGAACACAAATTAAATAATATAGACAAGAAAAATTACTCATAATAAAACATAAATATTAAGATCCAATGTATAACACAAATAGTTTCAAAAGTCGTAAAATAACTCATAATAACTAATAAACTCATAATTTCTAAATACAAATTATGAACAGAAAAGGACACTCCGAGTCTAAATGGCAGCAAAAACAGAAGAAATTATAGACTAGAACAGTGAGAAGAAATATCTTTTGAATCGTTATATTTTACAAAATGATAAAATAAGAAGTATCTATGAGAAGAAAATCGTGAACAGCCAAAGCAAGAACGAAGACCGAAGACCGACGCACCCCAGCAGTTGGTGTCACTGTCCGCGAAAACCAACGACGATGAAGGCAGCGCCGGCGACGGTGATGCGAGAGCGGGAGATGGTGAGGCGAACCTTGGGTGTGCAGAGAAAGTGAACAGAGAGACAGGGGTCACCGGATGGATAGTATGGCAGTTGCAACTGCAATTGCTAGCAAAACAAAATTATCTGATGTTCTTCCTCTCCCTTTCCCTTTCATCCAATCCTACGCTCTCTGATTGACCCTCCTTCCAAGCCGTTGGATCTACTTTCCTATTATCAAGTCCAAATTAATTACTACAATGTTATTTCTAGTTGCTTTATTACCTATTATTAAAAATTCTCATGGGAATATTTTTGTAAAGTTTTTATAGAAATGGTAAGAAATAAATTTTTTATAAATTTAAATATATTTTTACAAGAAAATTCGTAAAAAATAACTATTATTTTAATAGTACAATTTATATGTTATTATATGTAATCATTTACAATAGTTAATATATATTTCCAGATTTTAATAATTTTGTCAGTGTTTTTGTTCTAAATAAAAATGATTAAAAAGTATCTTCACTCCTTACCCGTCGTCATGCGATTCATAATCTTAGAATGTAACCTAAAGGTACAATTTGAACCATGGAAACAATAAAAAAAATAGAAAATATCAGTTAGAGGCCATGTTTCACTAATAGTAGGGTATATTAGGGTCACATTCCACCTCACCTTGTTACTGAACCTTTATAACTTATGTTAAATAATAAAAATATCTTGTCTATTTTTAACTTCCCCATAATCTTTTGATTTTGTATCTTCTTTTTCTTTCGTGCTATAAGGAACATGATATTCTAACGGAAATTCTAACGAAAGTGGTCTTTTGAAGACATATACAATGTGCAGAGAGAAGTAATGAAATAGAAGTTGGTGGAGGATCACACGAACATCAAGCAAAAGGGTAAGATGTGGAGGAAAATTACTAAACGAGAAAGGAAATACAATAAATTTATGAATTGGCAGGTAGAAGTTAGTCTAATACAATCTCATTTCATTAGGGATTTTTTTATTTTAAAATAGTTTTTTTTTTAATTAAATGTCTCCTAACAACTCTTTATTTAATGTATTTTTTTTAGAATTATTAATAGTACGATGTTTTTCATTCAATATATAAAACATTCCTCTCAAAATCTCTCTCTCACACATATTGTAACTTTACTATTAAATTTATTATTTGCGAGATTACGTAGAAGCAGCAGTCTTCTCGATTTTAGGCAATAATAATGGTTACCAAAGGTGTTTTAGTTCAACCAACAGTGATAGGATTTGATGATTATTATAATAATTGGACATACTTATGGAGAATTTTCTTCAATCAAAGGATAATTGGGATGTGATGGAAAATGGAGTTTCAATAGCAACAAAAGGTGTTACTCTGTATGAAGCAAACAAAAGTTCTTAGGAAAAATAGAAATGGAAGAATCTTAATATTAAAAACTATTTGTTTTAGGTTTTAGATTATTCAATTTGGAAATTATAATCAATAAAGATATAATAAAAAGTATTTAGGATTTTATGAAATAGAAATATAAAGAAAAAAATATGAAGGAACAATCCAAGTAAAGTGTGCTTATTTCTAATATTTGGGAAGGGAGTTTGAAATTACTCACATGAAAAAAAGGAGAATTAGACAATGAGTATCTTACTCGTGTATTTGTCATCAGTAACAAGATGAAAGCCAACCATGAAGATTTGAAAGATGTTATTGTGGTGAAGAAAATTATAAGATCAATGATGCTAAAGTTTAATTATGTTATGTGTTCAATTAAAGAACACAAGGATACAAGTATGTTGTCGATGACTGCAAAATAATTTGTTAATGCATAAACGATGCATGAGTAATATTGGACATGAAGAACATGCTCTGAAGGTTACTCATGGAAGCCAATATATTAGTCATACTGGATGAGGCAGGCAAAGTGTTGATAAAATAATAGTGAAATGCTATAATTATCATAAGTTCAGACACTCTCAGTGTAAATGTAAGAAGGGGTGACAAATTTTGTAGAAAGTTAGATAAAGAGTGAAGAACACATGTTATTAATGACTTATATTGAAGAAAAAGAGTAGCAAAAGACACACCTGTGGTTTCTTGACCGGGTGTAGTAATCATATGTGCAGAAAAAATGATTATTTTTCTAAGCTTGATGAAACTTCTTAAATTCTGTGAAACTGAGAAATAATTTGAATATGATGATTAATGAGAAAGACAACATTAGACTTGATATAAATAGAGTTATTAGTATTATATTGAGAATTTTTTATGTTCCGAAATTGAATAATAATTTGTTAAGTATAGGACCAATTACAAGAGAAGGTACTAGAAATTTTATTTCAACAAGTACAATGTAAAATATATTGTCTAAACAAAGTGATGATTATGAAATCTAATGTTATATTTTTTTCTTGTAGCACCAACTTGTTTTAATATAGATATGAAAGATGTAGCACAACTGTGACATTGCAAATTTGGACACTTAAGTTTTAAAGGCATATAGACTCTATAACAAAAAGAAATAGATGGAAGGTTTACCACTGCTTAAGTCGCTATCTAAATTGTTATCTGGTGGGGAAACAACATTGAAATTCATTTTCAATGAGAAGTTATTGGAGAACTTCGCAAAATTTTCAACTTGTTGATATTTCTCGACCAATTAAGCCAGCCTCAAATAGCAACAATTATTTTATTGATGATTTCATCCAAAAAACTTGGATTTATTTTTTGGCAAAAAAATCAGAGGTTTTTACGGTTTGAAAAGCTTCAAGGTTACATTTTTTACGGTTTTTAGGGGTTGTTGGTGAAGGAGTTGTCTACCTTTCGGCCCGACCCAGAAAAAAAAAAAGGTTCATGGGTTGTGGGTAATTCATTGACGGCTAGTGGACCAAATTCACTTTCTTTTTTCCTCTTCTTGGAACTCCAAAGCATAGCATTGAACCTAGGCTCATGTTTTGTGCTTTCTACCAAAATTCACATGTTTTGTGCTTTTCCTAGCTAGAAATCAAGATATATATGAGATGAAACGTGTAAGTGGGATGAAAACTAACTCATATTTGTTCTGACCCATTCATTCTCATTTGTACCGAGTTGATAAAAAGATGTTCTCTATTATAAAAAATCGGGCGGTAATGCGTAAAATAATCCTCGTCTCCATTTCAATTCCCGTTCACATCATATCACTGTTGCAACTTTATTTTTAAATTTAAATATTAAAATATTAATTTTTTTATTTTTTTATTTTTTATTATATATAAAATCATTTTTTATATATTTTATAATTTTTATTTTTATTTTATTTACTTTTTTATTATTTTTTCTCATTACATTATTTTCTTTTTCTTATTTTTCACTTATTTACATTTTTAATCTTTTTCATCAATTTGACTTTTTCAAAATTTTCAAGTAAATTTGACCAATAAATTTTCGATACACTATCTTTCTCTCGATTTCGTTTCGAATATTTCTTCCTCTATCACAGGTATCCTATCAATCTTGTTGTATTTGGACGTGGGAGTTATTCCAATAATTTTTTGACTTTTCAGTTACATATATTTTGATAACGTTTCTGTCCTTACGTATACGAAGTTGAATTTTCAGTTGTAATACATATAACAATATACATATTTCTCTATTTCATTCAAATATACAATCCCCGTTACAATTGGTGCTTTCATTGTCTTCCATGGCTGAGAATACTCGATTGAAGGAAATGCAAGCGACGATTAAATCACAAGAGGCAAAACTTAAAATCTTAGGCGAGTTGTTAGAATTACGTCACAAGGAACAGAGAGATTTTGCCGCTCAAGCTGCGATTGCCCAATCTGACGTCCATTTTCGATTGGATGAGCTTCAATCAGCATTGAACTAGCTTCTCAACCAACAGGCTCAGCAGAATGGAGGTTCTTCATCGAACAACGACTCCCCTTTGGTTACTCCAGTGAATATGGCTCTTCCTATTAAACACATTTCTCTAGGATTTCCTCCCTTCAATGGTACAACGCCCATTTTGGAATGGATTTTCAAGGCTGAGAAATTTTTCAACTATCATCATACACCAGATGCGAGCAGATTGGACATTGCTACGATTCATTTTGAGAAGGAGGTGGTTCCTTGGTTTCATATGCTACAAAAGCTCTCTGCAATTCATTCGTGGAGTGATCTGACACGTGCGTTGGAATCTCAGTTTGGTCCTTCTCCTTTTGACTGTCCAATGACTGAGTTATTCAAGTTGCAGTAGATTGGTACAATACCAGATTATTACTTGAAATTCATGTCCCTAGCTAATCGATCCTTTGGTTTATCGGATGAAGCATTGTTGAATTTCTTTTTGAGTGGTCTCCATCTGAGATACGTAGAGATGTGGTAGTCCAGGCTCCATCGTCGCTATTGCGAGCTGTAGCATTAGCAAAATTGTATGAAGAGATAGATACACCTCTCCTGCTAAATCTCCTACGGTACCTGTTCGTCGTTATTCACTGATATCTACTCCAATTTATACATCTTCTCTGATTCAATCCAAACCAGTTATTAAGCCAACCTTACCACCCTTATTGCCTACCCCTAATGTTCCGCCATTGCGCAATGTTGGTATAAAAAAAATCAGCCCAGCAGAGATGCATATTCGATGAGAAAAGGGATTATGTTATTTCTGTGATGATAAATTTACTTTGAACCATAAATGCCCTAATAAGCAGTATTTGTTTTTGCAATTGGAAGAGGATTTGGAAGACTCTAATCATGAATCACCTCCTGGGGTTCATTCCACAGAATTGAATATGACACCAATATTGGAGGATCATCATTTATCCTTTAATGCCTTGAAGGGTGGCATAGGGGCGGGTACTATCAGATTTTTAGCTTACATTCATAAGTTACCTGTCACAGTGTTAATTGATGGTGGTAGTTCAGACAATTTTTTGCAGCCTCGTGTTGCAAAGTTTTTTAAAATTCCTATAGAACCAGCTCCATTGTTTAAAGTAATGGTGGGTAATGGAAACTACATGACAACGGCGGGCTTAGTTCAGAAATTGGTGGTACAAGCTTAGGGTAATACTTTTACATTGCCTGCTTATTTGCTTCCTATTTCTGGAGCAGATCTTATTTTAGGAGCTAATTGATTGAAAACCATTGGGCCTCACATGGCTGACTATGAGGCCCTGAACTTAAAATTTTTACATAATAACACATTTGTTACCTTACAAGGTAATGTTGATACAATTCCTATGCAAGCTCACCTGCATCACATAAGGCGTATGGTTAATACAAATGCCATTGTAAAGGTCTACAACATGCAGCTGGTGGATCACACTATGCATTCTTCATCTCTACCTCCATTACCTTCAAATATGGCACCAGAGTTGACATGACTTCTGCATACATATGCTTCTGTTTTTGACATTCTTGCTTCCTTGCCTCTCCTCGTGCACATGATCATGATATTCCCTTAATGAAAGGATCTACCCCCGTCAACGTGAAACCTTATCGTTATCCTTATAGCCAAAAAGAGGAAATTGAAAAGCTTGTTGCTGATATGCTTAAGGAGGGGATAATTTAACATATTCGAAGTCCTTTCTCATCGCCCATTATTTTGGTTAAAAAGAAGGATGGATCTTGGTTAGTTTGTACAGATTACCGAGCTCTCAATGCTATCACTATCAAGGATCGTTTTCCTATTCCTACGGTAGATGAGTTGATTGATGAGTTATTTGGAGCCATTATTTTTTCTAAACTTGATTTACGATCTGGTTATCATCAAATATTATTGCACCCCGAAGACCGTTGTAAAACTATTTTTCGTACACATCATGGTCACTTCGAGTGGCTTGTCATGCCATTTGGGTTATCTAATGCTCCCGCAACATTTCAAAGTTTAATGAACGCCATTTTTCAAGGAGTGTTGAGAAAATTTGTGCTTGTTTTTTTTTATGATATATTATTAGTATATAGTGCTTCATGGACGGATCATTTACTTCATTTAGAAGTGGTGTTACAGATTTTGAAACAACATCAACTCTATGTCAGGTTCTCTAAATGTTCTTTTGGAGTTACTACAATTGAATATCTGGGCCATACTCTGTCCGGATTAGGGGTGGCTATGGACACTCACAAACTGGATGCAGTGAAGAATTGGCCTAGGCCACTTAATCTCAAACAGTTGCGTGAGTTCCTTGGTCTTACCGGTTATTATCGCAGATTTGTCAAAGGCTATGCCCAAATAGCAGCTCCCTTAACTGATTTACTAAAAAAGGATGCTTTCACTTGGACTGACGCAACTACTTCTGCTTTCTTAGAGCTTAAAGAAGCATTGACAACAGCTCCTGTATTGGCTATTCCGAATTTTTCTGCCCCTTTTGTTCTTGAAACGGATGCATCAGGTGTGGGAGTGGGCGCAGTTTTGAGTCAAGATCATCATCCAATAGCATATTTTTCAAAGAAGCTTTCATTGCAAATGCAGAAACAGTCTGTTTATACTCGCGAATTTTATGCTATTACTGAAGCTTTGGCCAAGTTTCGACACTATCTTTTGGGTCATAAATTTGTTATAAAGACTGATAAAAAAAGTCTTAAGGAATTATTAGAACAGCGATTACAGACACTGGAACAGCACCAATGGTTACCCAAGTTTTTGGGTTTTGATTTTTCCATACAATACAAACCAGGGAAAGAAAATATTCCAGCATATGCCTTGTCCCGTAGTTTTTTAGTGGCTTGGTCAGAACCAAGAAATCAATGGTTAAAGCAGATAATTGATTTAATTCCAACTGATACCAAGTTCATGGCCCTGTATAAGCAATGCTTGGATAATAAATTGCAGTCTTCGGAATATGTGATTCGTGACGGGTTATTATTTTGGAAAGGACGAATTATGTTTCCCAATAATGATGATCTTATTACTCAAGTTTTAAAGGAATTTCACTGTTCCAAGGTGGGGGGTCATGCCGGAGTTGCTAAGACCACTGCAAGAATTTCTTCTCAATTTTTTTGGCCAGGAATGCATCAACGTATTAGAACTTTCATACGGGATTGTCGAATTTGCCAACAATCTAAACTTGAGCATGCATTACCAGCAGGGTTGCTTCATGCATTGCCTATTCCTTAGCATGTGTGGGAAGATGTTGCAATGGATTTCATAACAAATCTGCCTCTTTCCCATGGGTTCTCGACTATTATGGTAGTTGTTGATAGACTTTCAAAATTTGGGCATTTCATCCCTTTAAGGATAGAGTATACCAGTAAAATTGTTGCCGAAGCTTTTGTTAACAATATTGTGAAATTGTATGGTGTTCCGAAGTCCATTGTTTCGGATAGTGACAAGGTTTTTGTTAGTTCCTTTTGGAAACATTTATTCAAGGCTCAAGGTACCACTTTAGCTATGAGTTCTGCATACCATCCGCAAATGGATGACCAAACTGAGGCTTTGAACAAAACGCTGGAGATGTATCTTCGATGCTTTGTTTTTTATAATCCAAAGATTTGGTACTCTATGTTACCGTGGGCTTAATTTTGGTACAATTCTTCCCTGCATCAAAGTATTTGAATTTAAAGCATTATATGGTCATGACCCACCTGCAGTTGTGAGGTATGAGACCAATTCTACTGATCCTGTTTCAGTTCAGGAAACTCTAACTGCTCGTGATGTTTTACTTCAACAACTTAAATCAAATTTGTTGAAGGCTAAAAATTATATGAAGCAACAAGCAGACAAAAGAAGACGTGATGTGCACTTTTCTGTGGGGGACTTAGTGTTGGTTAAACTCCAACCTTATAGGCAACATTCCGTTGCTTTACGCAAGAATCATAAACTCCGTATGTCTTACTTTGGCCCATTTGAGGTGCTTGCCAAAATAGGAATTGTGGCTTACAAACTCAAGTTACCAGAGACTGCCAAGATTCATCCAGTATTCCATGTATCACTGTTGAAAGCATTTATTGGCAATCCTTCCCAAACATATTTACCATTACCTTTAACAGAGTTTGGCCCCCTAGTTAGTCCCTCTCAAGTTTTAGACTCTCTGCGCACGGTCCCTCAAGTTTTAATTCAATGGGATTCACTGGATTCTACTGCTGCAACGTGGGAGGATTGACATGAATTTCAAGAGTTTTTTCCTCACTTGCACCTTGAGGACAAGGTGGCTTTCAATGGAAGGAGTATTGTAACATGTGAGCCAAATAACAATGCCCAAAACGTAACCTTAAATGAAAATGCTGTTACGGGAAGGTAGTTACATCAGAGAGTTACGTGGCGTGCGATCCGTCCGTGTATGCAGGGGCAAAGAAAAATCATGAGGCAAAAGAGAAAGAACATTTTATTAAGGGACTATGTGTGAGAAAAGAATCAACTTTGAAAATCTCTTACATTATCTTCTCTCTGATTTCTGTTTCTGAATATTTCTTCCACTATCAGAGGTATCCTATCAATCTTGCTGCACTTGGACGTGGGAGTTATTTCAATAATTCTTTGACTTTTCAGTTACATATATACATATATTTTGATACAGTTTCTGTCCTTGAATTTTCAGCTGTAATACAAATAATAACAGTATACATATTTCTCTATTTCATTCAAATATACAATCCCCGTTACACTTGGTTTTACCAGTGTTCCAAGTCCTTATATGGTCTAGTTGTAATCTGGTTGGGATTGGTATTTGTACATTCTGAAATAGATTTTTAGTGGAGTTTGGAATTGCAACCTTTTGTCTGTAATGTTTTTTGGGACTGTATACACAAGTTGAGGGATTTGTCTATATTAAGATTGATCAAGTAGCCCTTTGTGTACTCAAGTATTCATAACAATATTCTCTTGCTAAAAAACTTGCCCTGATCATTAGTACATTTGCGAAGTTGGAACTCAAATATATAAATAACAATGTCAATGACCCGTGACATATACTCGTTTGAATTTAAAAGTTTCAGATCAGATCGGCATGAAAAATGTATAAAAATATTTCTCAACAACTCTAAATACTTATATAAAATTTACATTGGCATACAACTCAGAAGACAAAGGCTGCTACACATATGGTGATAAATTGAATGAAAAATCCATCTTCCTCACAACAACTCATAAGCTAAGATGTAAATCCAAACCGAATCCTCGTTCATGACCATGACCACCACCGTTCCCTCTGTCATTGAAACTACCGCTTTTAGAGCCACCGAACTCCGGCGGAGGACTGCGGTGGCCACGGCCATCAGTAATGGAGGCACCAGATGTAGCATAAACTCGTCTTCCAGGAGTCACAAAAGCGACTCCTGAGTCATATGCACCACCACTTGACCATGCTTGTGGCGTGCATAGCCACGAAAAATGTGGCTGAGATTGTGGTGTGAAGGTGGATATGATTGTGTTGTGAATGTGTGAAGCGACAAAGCCGCGAGCAGCTTGCATTTGAGCACGTTTCAAGAGCTGTCTCTCTTTCTTGTGCGCGTTTTGGTGCCCTCCTAGTGCCTGTGAGTTTGCGAATTCTCTGAAGCAGTACTGACACTCGTATTTTCTTGGATTGAAAAGCTCAGAATTGGAACTTGCTTCGTGATCAGTTTGTTCTTCGGGGGACTTGTTAATGTTGATGCCAAAGAGCTTTAGGGGTGGGGTGCTTGTGGTTGATTTTGCATGGCATTCAATTTCAGTCATGATTGAGTTATATGTGAGGGAAAGAAAAGTAGGTAAGAAGATGCAGAAAAGATGAACCAGAATATGTGGCTAGGTATTAACTGTGGGCATGGATATGTGTGTGTAAACTACAAAGTATGAGAGGCTTTTATAAAAGGGTTCAAGTGCATGCTTGGAAACAGGAAAGCCAGAATCATTTTTTAGAAGAAAAAAGAGACCAGTGGTAGAGTTTGTTGTGAAAGATTCATTTCAACAGATGAGACGAAAACCAAAGCAGCTTTCCGTATACGATTTTGAGTATCTTATAATTTATTGAAGTACCTGCTAGGGTTGGATTGTGGCCATAATAGACAGAATATGGGTGACAGTATAGGCATGATAAGATAAGTTTACACTACACAAGTAATCGATTTTTTATGATTTATATTTTGTAAAATGAATAGTGTTTTATATTTTTTATTTTTAGGGTACGAAATACATCTGAATTAGATTATTTATTAGTACACACCCCATTTGCATGTTCATGACTAGTCTTCAATGGCCATATGGTTGAGATTTTTAATTTTTCTAGTTATGCAACCTGTGGAGATTGATCAGCACTATGATACTCTTGTACAGTATAATAATTATGTAACTCAGAAGAGAGTGATAGGAAACAAAAAATATTTGCTGTAAAAAAATAATAAAAAGAGAATGAGATGAAATTGGAATAGAAGAGAAATGAAATGTATATCTAATGTAAAAGTTTCATCATAAAATGAGGCTAAGAGATATTTAAATTATATCACATAAAAGGGTAAAAAATATGAACTTTCAATATGTAAACAACTTCTTATTATAGATAAATACTTGGTAGAAAACCACGATAATCCTATAAGATTAAAAAAAAAAACTAGTGAGGGTGGTTAACACATATGAAACAAAAGGGTATCAAGTCTTTGGCTTTGATGGCTAGATACGTTAGCAATCTAGCTAAAGCATATATATAATCAATCACTCCACTGTGTTTTGGCATGGCTTGCAAATAAGGAGGATTAGCTGAATATAAAGAAGACAACTTGGCATAATTGGTGCTAATTAAAACCTTCAGCAATCGAGGATAGCATGGCCTTAGTTAATTATTGAGGAAGTCAAAGATAGAGAGATTATTGAAATGAATGATCCAAGTGGATTGACGTAATAAGGGAAATGCTATAGGTTTGTTTGTGAAGCATGTTTGCGTGATTGACGTTGAGTTAGTCATTAATTATTGGGACAATATCTGTAAGAATCTTACTAACTTCCATCACTTGGGGGTTCAATGTATTATGATGATATCAACACTATAACTACACATGTTTAATAGATTTCAATGGTTGGCAACAGAGTTGAAACTCATCTATATGATGCACGAGAACGAGATCACTATTGCACCACACCAAAATTCCTTTGAAAACTGAGGGCAATGATGCTCCTAGTAAGTGAAAAATGTTTAGGGTGTTTTCCAGTTACATGAAAGACGGTTAGGTGGAGAAAGTATATGTTGTTGAAAAGCACATGGCAATGATGTTTTTTGTGCATCATTTCATGCATGAAAACTCAAGTGAAAAGAATAGGAAGAGAACAAAAACTCTCATCCCTCTCTGTGTTTCTTTCAATCTTGACGATTCATTATATATTATATGATTATCTTCTCCATGGTTTCCAACTGGTGAACTCATCATAAGGGGTCACTTGTTTTAAATTTTCTCAAATTAGTAATCATGAAAAGTTAACACCAGTCATGTTAATTAGAGGTTTTTGTATGTGGTCCAAATGGACAAACTAGACCTACCGACTTGTGCTTGCCGAGGAAATGAAATCTACAAACCTAATTATCAATTTATTAATTGATTGAAGTTGACGCATGATACTTTGTCAACACAGTATATGTAATATATATATATATATATATATATATATATATATATATATATATATATATATATATATATATATATATACTACAAAATTTACACACCAATTTGATGTTGAACTTGATAATAAGCAGAAACTAAATTATTAATGCAACCACTGTAGATCAATCTACAGTACTAATTACATATTATCATAAAGAGACAACGTCGTTGGTAAAATAATTTGATATATTATTAAGTACAGTATACATATTTATGAAATGTTCAATTAAATATATTTGAATTTTATTAACAAAACTTATAATATGGATGTTTTTGTGTTAGCGAATGATTCTTTTGAAGTGACACCTGTTACCTTAAAATTTATTTATATTTAATTGTACTATCTTTACATATTTTAATATTATTATTTATTTTGAAAAATGACACTCGTGAAATATGTGACGCTAAGCCTGTATTATTTGCATTCTCTAGAAGGTCAAGATTATAAGATGCAAGCAAAATGTTGAAAAGAGGGTTCTTCCGAGTAGGTTTATTAGACACTTAGTTTAGATAATTGTGCAAGTTAAAATCCTCAAACAATATATTATGTATACAAACTACTAGCTTTTGTTTTACTCAATCACAAATTAATGGCTTTGGAGATGTTGCATGCAATAAGACGAGTATCGTGTTCAAATATTCTAGTATAATAGAGTAAGAAAATCTCATTCAATTCAAATGGAAAAATTTGACGTGGATAAAAGATATTGCAAATTAAGACAAACTTTAAGTTGTGAATTTGGATTATCATTTCAGTGTAGCCATTTTATTCTAGAACATCCAAACTTTAGAGTTTGTGGATGAAAGTGTCATGAAACCTCATGGTAAAAAAAAAAAACAAAAAAAAAAACTTGTCAACATCGCACACAAGATCCGCTGGCACACCGAGTCTTCCTTCGCATACTGCTACATATATATACATATATGATATGTTGCTTCCATTCTTTATTCACAGAAAGAATCTTCCCTTTCCCTTCATGTATCTGGTAGTTTTCATGGTTTTTATTGCATATTTTAACGTGCATGGTTAAAATTTTTAGCTTTTCTACATCTATAAATAGATGTTTCTACTCTCTTCCCAAAATAGTCAAATATACTTCACTCATCTTCTCCTCTTTCCTTTTTTATTTCATTCTTATCTGAATATATATATATATATATATATATATATATATATATATATATATATATATATATATATATATCTTTTAAGAGGTTTTTTTATTAATTTTTAATTTTTTTGAAAATACAAAAAATTCTTCTTATATCTAACATAATATACTACAGCTAAGCCCTTAAAAATATTAATTATATAAAAGAAAGTAAAATTTTAAGTGTTACAGCACATAAAATTCATTTTATTCATAAAATTATTAGAAACAATTATTTTCCATGTAGTAAATGTTATTAGAATATTTTCAATGAGAACCTACTTACTAAAATGGATTTAAAATTTAAAGTCTATGCATACTTTTTTTTCTATAATATATTTTTTTTGTTAAAAAGAAAATAATTTAATTACACAATTTTATTGTTAGTATTTTGTGATTTTTATTATTTTTTTAATATTATCATCAACACTTTCAATTTGTATATATATTTTCCGATTTGTTGTTTTTTATTTTAATAAAGTAATGGTGTTCATAGAAAGTTTTCTTAAAAATAAAACAACTTCAAATATGATATTGTTTTGCATATATTAGTAATTCAATGTATTTTTATTTTTACGTCATTTCTCTATTGAACATCTAATATATCCGTAGAACATTTTAAAGTTGAAATTTTTAATGGTAAAAATCACGAGAAAAATAAAAAGATAAATTAAGTGCAAAAATATACAATTAAGCCTAATTAAATTTTAAAAAATATATGAATATAATATTTTAATTTTTACACTAGAATCCATGATCCTTATAAAATATAAAAATCGGCTGAAATAAATATAAAATTATTAAATTAGCATAAGTATCAACAAAAAAGAATATAAATCAGGCTCTAAAGTCCGAAAGAACCCAATTACACCATCAGAATGTAAATGGGCTTCCGTACAATATTTAGGAAAAAAAAAAAAGACCCAATAAACATGCTTTTAGGATAAAAAAGTAAAAACAAAAAAATTAGAACATGTTTCTTCTTTTGAGAATGTTTGGGTCCAGATTTTGTTTAGCCTGTTGTGTGGAACGTACTGAAGAAATCATATCCTATCTTCTTTCTTTATGTAATTAATAAGGATAAGAATTCACTTAAAATATTTGGAGGACTTATAATAAGGATTAGAATAAAAAAAATAAAATAAGTTTTTCAACAAATACTGTCAATATTATTTGAATACAAAATTACACTTAAAGAAGAAAATATTAAAGTTGTGAATTATATCATGACTTAAATAGAAAAAGACTAATACATAACTTTGTTTCAATTTTTAAGTGATTACTTTATTTAAATAATGACCTCATTCTTTATAAAATTGACTGTTCAAATTATACTTTGGATTAATCAATTATTAAACTTTAGTTTGGTTTATTTCAAGTAGTAATAATGGTCTAAATACAAACTTAGGCATTAGACTTTAGGAGATCAAGAGAGTGCATAATTGATTGTTTTTGGTTGCTACAATTTCAATTACAATCAGTCATTAAATAATCTTTATTTTTAGGTTAATGAATCATTATTAGCATTTATTTTCTTTTATTGAATATTTTGTAATTTTGATGACAAAACTTCTTTATAAGCTTGAACAATTCTTATAAAAAAAAGATGAATTTTATTAAAAAATATTATAGTTTAAATATTTTATCTTAGTGAGAGTGATTCTCCTAAGTTCTTAAATAATTCAAGAATCCTTGATTGTATCAAAGAACTCTCACATCCTTTGTGAGTTGTGATAACAACATTTTGTTCAGTACAAAATATTGATAAAAAATAATAAACAACTTGCTAAATTAATGCAACATAGTTAACGAGTATCATATCTCACAAGCATACAATTATAGGAACGTACTCATTACCACATATAATTCTGTTTAAAAGCTGTAAATAGGGTATGAATGAACGAGTGAAAAAGAAATAAATTGATGCAAAATG